TTTGGGGGAGGGGGGGGGGTGTCCAGTCGTGGTGCCTGAACTCTGGGCCTGGGCGCTCAAGGCTAGCGCTCTACCACTTGAGCCACAGTGCCACTTCGGCTTTATTCTTTTTTTTGTTTTTGTTTTTGTTTTTTTGGTGGGTCATGGGGCTTGAACTCTGGGCCCGAGTGCTGTTCTGGGCCTTGAGCTCTTCCTTCAGCTCAAGGCTAGCACTCTACCACTTGAGCTACAGCGCCACTTCGGCTTTTTTTCTTTTGCTGAGGAATCCAACCCAGGGCCTCAGGCATGCAAGACAAGCGCTCTACCACTGAGCCACCTTCCCAGCCTCCAAGGGATGTCCTTGATTCCATTCCCTATCACAGGCGTAGCCGTCATCCCAGTGCTGCAGAGAACTCTTCATTACGAGTGCATTGTCCTGGTCAAACAGTTCCGGCCACCAGTGGGAGGTTACTGCCTCGAGTTCCCTGCAGGTCAGTAACAGTAACATGCTGCCCTTGGGGTCCATGGGCCCACCAGTAGGTGAATGCTGCCCTCAAGGGCCCATGGCCAGAGCATGGCAGGAATGGCCGCCTCTCCACCCATTCCTCTCCCTTTCAGCACCTGCTGCTCCTCCATGTGTCCACTCATCTCACTTTCTATGAGAGCAGTCTGCCACAGTGCAGAGGGCAGTCTCTAACTCCCAAAGCTATGACTGGAAAAGACCCTGACCTGCCACCATGCATACACGGGCTAATGAAACTGCATTTCAGCAAGGATGTTCTCTCAGTTATACAGTAGTAATGAAAGAGGCTGTGCAGAATTTAATGCACTGTGCTATTGTAGGACTTTCTTGGCTTGAACCCATCTGAAGTTAAATCACATGATTTTGAAAGCCCAACACATTTGGATATGGGGGTGGTGGGATGTTTGGTGGTAGTTTATTTGCCCTGGGTTCCATCCCCAGCACTGGGATGAAGAGGGGAGGGGAGGACTGCTATGGTACTGTAAAGTTAAAAATTATTGATTTTTTTTCCTCTCTCACATGCCATTTTACTAAAATCATTAATAACATTGAAAGTTGCTGAGTAGCCCATATGCCCTGCTTCTCCCCGGCTCTTTCCATTGAGAGCAAGCAGTCTGTTGGTGCTGCCTTCCGCTGGCACTTCATACCCACAGCCCTTGGTACTCACTACAAGGCCTCTGTATTTTATTTATGAGGGAGGAGAGTAAGATAGGCAGCTGGCACATTGTCCACAAGTTTCCTGTGCTAAGTTCACGTAGCTGACTATAACCTCCAAGTCACCTCTCCTCACACAAGCCGGCTGCACAGAAGCACAGCTGCCATACTCCCAGAGTCAGACCTAAGTGAGAGGAACCACAATTCCCACCACAACTGCTTCAGCCGTTCTCCATGTTATTCTTGTGCTTTTTCATCTGTCATTGAAGTTGTGAACCTTTGTCACTTTGATCTATAAGACTGCTGAGAATCTGGTCAGCAGGACTCCCTCCCTATCCCTCCCGCAGGTCTCATCGATGACAATGAAAGCCCTGAAGCAGCTGCTCTACGGGAGCTGGAGGAGGAGACAGGCTACAAAGGAGACGTGGCAGAATGCTCTCCAGGTTGGTGCTCGTCCCTCAGAATGCCCTTGGGAAATTAATTAAGCAGTACCTCCTCTGGGTGTTGGGATTGTTTATTTGAGGGTTATGTTGGGATTCAGATGGCTTGTATTTCAGCTGATCTGGTGCAGAGAAATGTAGGTTTCCATTGGTCTCCATCAGTAATGCATCTCCTTCCCCACGGGAGCAGGTTCTGCTCAAGTTGGACAGCTGTGGAACAAGCTGCCTTGCAGAATTCCCCACACCCAGCTTTCTAAGCCACCGTCACCTATGTGCCCCACTCCTCCCTACAAGTTTGCCCCCCCACCCAGCCCCATTCCCTCCCCCACCCGTGAACTGGTCAGCACCATATGCCCCTCAGGTTTACCGAGCTTGGCTTGGGAACTCTGGGAAAGTATAAGAAGGTAGCATATATGTGCATGTACTGGTGGAATCAGTGTCTTCTGTAAACTGAATTCCAAGTCTCTTCTTCCTGAGACTTCAGCAATGAAGCAAATGACCAAAGAGCCTGAAGCATCTGACTGATTCCTTACCACAAGTTTTCGCTCTCTCCATAGCTGTATGTATGGATCCGGGTTTGTCAAATTGTACCACACACATTGTAACAGTAACCATCAATGGAGACGATGCAGAAAATGTAAGGCCTAAGCCAAAGCCAGGTAAGTGTGGACTCCATTTAAGGTGGTTGTTACATTATATTTTGTTTCTTGTTTGTTTAAAGAATCCTAGTCTTCAGTAGGTCCTCTTGTCTGCTTTTCTGATCTTGGATTTTTTTCACAGAGTCTCTACTATAGCCCAGGCTGGCCTCAAACTCCTGGTCCTCCTGTCTCAGCCTCCCAAATGCTGAGATTACACACATGTGTTATCTTGCCTCACTAGCCTGTCATTGCTTTTTTATATAAATTACACATTTGCATATTTTTGTATGAATGCCTGTTCCCACTTAGCAATATGAACTGTAGGCCTAAACATACAAGAAGATTCCAGAACATCTTGGTTTCCGCCCTCATTTGTATGTTTAAAAAGGGCAGAGGCAATGTCAGGGGGCAGCAGTTTACCAGTTACTCTTTTGGAGTTCTGTATTTAGAGAATCTGTTAGAGTATTCTTGGTTCTAGAATATTTCTTAGTAAGTTTGGATTCAAACACTGGCATTTGTCAAGTCCATGTCATTTTCCTCGCAGCCCTTAAAAGGAGTGTGGTTTATGCAAGCCCAGGCAGGAGCTGAATTCTTGCATTTCTTCCCTTTGTAACTGCTCCTGCTTCACTGTCCCTCTTGCGCAGCCAGTTTTAATTTTTGAACTGCAGATGTACATCTGGCATGGATAACAGTTTGGGAGTTCCTCAAGATGTTAACTATAGAATTAGTCTGTGGTCACTCCTGGGAGTGAGATCACTCAAGCATCATATCCCATGTTGACAGCCTTGTCACTCACAGCAGCCCAGGTGGAAACAGTATGACTATCATCAGCAATGAACAGAGAGGTAGAATGGGCCAGAAACACAATGGAGTATAACATAAAAAATGAAATGTCCTGATTCATGTTACAACATGAATGAACCTTAAAAATACTAAGTGAAATAAGCTAGCCAGACACGAAGGAGCACATGTTGTGTCTCTATGCTTACACAAAATAATAGCCTAGGTCATCAGAGGCAGAATGTGCATGGGGGTTATCAGGGATGGGGAGCTGATGCAGGGTTTCACACTTCCATCTGGAATGAGGAAAATGTAAAACTTTTAACAGTGGCGATAATGGCCACTAAATTGTAACTTTAAAAATAGTTAAGATTTCATATATATATATATATATATATATATATATATATATATATATATATAGTTAAGATGAGCCAGGCACCAGTGGCTCATGCTTTAACTAGTCAGGAGGCTTAAGACCTAGAGGATCACAGCTGGAAGCTAGCCTAGGCAAGAAAATCTGTGAGAGACTCCCATCTCCAATTAGCCAGCAAAATGATGGCCTAGAGGTGTGGCTCAAGTTGAACTGTACCTGCCAAGCAAGCAAGTCAAACAAGAGTGTAAGGCCCTGAGGTCAATCCTCATTACCAGCACACACAAAATGGCTAAAATGTTAAATTTGTTGTATTTTACAAGTGTACAGGTATATGTATTAGAGAATATGCTTTAAATTTGGCTAATATTTGCTACTGGGTTGGTTTTGCCAAGGTAGCAATAGCTGAGTCTTGGCATTTTATTAAATTCTTACATATCTTTATGACATGTGGTGTATGAAAGTCTTCCAGTGTTGGCACTCTGGGCCTTGCTAAAGTCTTCTTGTGTTTCTTTTCAGGGGATGGAGGTATGTTACTCGGCTCCCGCTCCCGGAGGAAGGCCACGCACGTGATGTGACTTGACACAGTGCAGTGGTTACAGCTGCATGGTCTGGGGGTTGGGTAGGCTTGTGTTCTCTAGCTTTGTTTTCACTTGTGCTTTGTTTGTTTAGAATTTGTGGAAGTAATTTCTTTACCAAAGAATGACCTGCTGAATAGACTTGATGGTAAGCATTCCTAAAATTATCGCCAAACTTTGTTTTCCCTTCTCCACCCCCAGCCATGGGGCAGTAAATAATTCCTATTCCTGTCTCCTCTATCTTGTTAATGCCAGATACCTAGAAGCTGTTTTACTAGTTTTAGCAGTTGGCCACTCTCCTTTCCTGGAGATAGTTATAAATATGAACAAAAGTGAGAGTTACTCGTACATTTTTTTCCTACAGAATAGTCAAGACTTTCTGTTGTTTATTACTTCATAGCTTCCATCTGTAGCAGTGCATGGATGTGGGTAGTGCACCCTTGGTGGAGGGTGCATATTGGAGGATTTAGCTGGCATGTGATAGTGGCTCAGTGAACATGGATTGGCATTATCTACTGCTGAGTGCATTACCTAAGATGTTGCCTTTGCTTCCTTAGCTCTGGTAGCTGAAGAACATCTGACGGTGGATGCCAGAGTCTACTCCTACGCCCTGGCCCTGAAGCATGCAAACACGAAGCCATTCGAAGTGCCCTTCCTGAAATTCTGAGGCCAACAAGGACAATGGCCATATGTGATTTTGTAACTGAGACCACCTGGCCTTCTTCACAAAGACTTTGTATTCAACTTAGTTTTATGTAGGTTTGAAAGTAGCTTTTTCATAAATAAAAGTAACAATGCATTTGGTGGTATGGCACTGTCATTACAGGTAGGCTGTAACCTTACTTCAGTTGGTTAAACTCTAGCTAATATTAACAGAAGCTAACATCAATACAGGTATATTCACTCCTCGCCCCCAACACATTTTATTTTTGCCAGTCCTGGGGCTTGAACTCAGGGCCTGAGCCACAGGGCCATTTCTGGCATTTTCTGTTTATGTAGTACTGAGGAATTGCACCCAAGACTTCATGAGTGCTAGACAAGCACTCTACCACTAAGCCATATTCCTAGCCCCTCACTTTCATTGCTTTTTTAACCTCAACTGCTACTTTTAACACCTAGTCCAGGAAATTAGAAAATTTCTATAAGAAATCAGACCTGAATTCCAAGCTAGGCCAATTTTTCCAGCCTTCATTCCCTAAAACACAATGCCATTGCATTCGTGTTTTAAGCTAGAATGTTTTTTCTTTTAAGAGAAAGACCTCTACATAGGGACCTAATAATTATTTGCTATGTGGAATTTGGATATACAGTAGAGAATGTAAAATCAGTAAGAATAACGTTTTTGTTAAGTACCTAGCCAGACACAGTATTACATACCTGTAATCTGAGGCTCCTAGAGGATGTGAATGCAAGGCCAGCCTGAGGAACAGAGCAAGATCTATCTACATCCAGATTGGGAACCATGGGCATCACAATTCTCCAAAGGCTATATTCTGTTACTATGATTTCTCAGGAGTGCATTCTGAAATTTCCCATTACTCCCATCCTCTGAAATCACAGACAAGAAAAACTGGCACAGACCAACCATTCCCACAGACCACTAATTCCAAGGTCACTCCAGTAGCAGTGACCTTAAAGGTGAATGGAGAAATGAAGTCTGTCACCTCTACCTGGCCTCTGTCAGTCACGGAAGTGACTGCTAACCCCTTGGACATCCCTGATGTGAACTTCAAAAGCTTGGCCTTGAGACCCAGACATTGATGGCTCACGCTGTGATCCTAGCCTGTGATCAGGAGGCTGAGAGCTGAAAATTGAAGTAGTTTGAAGTCTTAACTCCAAGTAACCACCAAAAAGCTGGAAGTAGAGCTGTGGCTCAAGTGGTAGAGGACTAGCCTTGAAAAAAAGCCCAGGAACAACAACCAGGCCATGAGTTAGACCTCCAAGGTTGGGCATAAAAAAAAGCTCTGTCTTGAAGACAAAGTGTGAGAACTGACAGCCTGGATGTTTTCACTATTCAGCACTGTTTAAAATCAATTTGCCTGCATTTTTAAAAGCTGCATTTCTACCTTTTGAAAAAGTAACATTGGCACCATGTTAATGTGGTTAGCAGTGACCAGAGAACCACCGGTTCCATATACATACAGTGAACCCATACAAATAATTTTAGAAAACACTCAATATGATATTTCTTGATTCTAACACGACTGAAACGGTTTTATTAAATAAAAGTTTATTGTCTACTGTTTACACTCATGTTGCTGCTATAAGTACAACAACAGACAAATTCCTAGCATGAATTACTCATTGTTCACCCCCATTGAACTACAGACATTGCTTGAGAATTAGATCTTTGCTTTAGGGACTTAGAAAAGAAAAGAATTGGGACGTGGTGTGTTGAAAGCATTCTCAAGTGACTGGGTGGAATCGGAGGCATAGCCAATACAGTCCAAACAGCACCCACCGTGCTGTCTCTGGAAAGTGATGAGAACCAGGAAGATGAGACGCAGGTGTTGCCAGCGACAAGAAATAACTTCAGTGCTTGATTTTTGCCCATTGGGCTAAGTGGCTGCTTTGGGAAGGGACAAATAAAGGAGGGAGGGGGACAGGGAGGGCAGGGAACATGGATACTATGAGATAAAAAAGTATAAAAAGTAATTATCTAAAATATAGATCAGATATAAATGTTCCAGAACTCATTAGATAAGCTCAAAAATACTGGAAGTGGCAATTTGAACTACATTTATTTTTAAACAAGGGGGATAATCATTCTGAATGTTGTGTGCAAAACAAATCCAGGTCACCGACTCACTGTCCTGACTTAACACAGCAAGGTAGATGCTTCAGTTTCCAGCATTATGGGCAACACTGGACATGTTTAACGAATAATGTAAACTTGAGTTTTAAGGCAGCTGGTACTAATGCTGCTCACAGGCTTAGCTTGGTGCCCATAGAAATGGGACAGTAGCACTTGAAAACAAACTGAGGGAAGGAAGGGGGAAACCAGCATTTTTTGACAAAAACAATATGTCAAAATATTTTCCCTTTCACACACACAAAAAGAAGTAACTTGAACATTTAGAAAAACAAAGCACCCATCCCACCAACTTCAGCTTGTTCCTTAACAAATATTTCAAAATACTGATAAATAATAGTAACTGCAAGCAAAATTCCAGTGCCAGACCCAATGGCTCCCAGAAAGTCAGCCAACACCGACAGGGCACCAATGCACAGACCTCCAAATGCAGCCGCAGTAGGGATGTACCTGCAAGACAAACCCTTGTCAGGCAGTGGATAGCAGTGTTTGTCTAAGAAAATAGAAACTAGCCAATCAGAGCAGTCTGCAAAAGCTATCCATTGAAACCTATCAGATGAATGATAATGAGGAACTGATTAAGGCAAAAAAATATGACTCCCAGATTTCAAAAAAAAATAATTAAAAGCCAAGAAAAGCAATATATAATTCTTAGAACTGAAGATCAGAACCCTAAGCTGAAATTCAAGTATTACAAGGTTTAATACTTTAAAATAGCCTCTATTATCCTCTCATGAAGTGAAAAGTAAATTTCAAAATGTTAGGTTGAGAATATGGCTTGGTGGTAGAGTGCTTGCCTAGCATGCTCAGAGCCCTGAGTTTGATTCCTCAGTACCACATAAACAGAAAAAGCTAGAAGTGGCACTGTGGTTCAAGTGGTAGAATGCCAGCCTTGAGCAAAAGCAGCTCAGGGGCAGTGTCCAGGCCCTGAGTACAAACCTCAGGACTGGCAAAAAGAAAAAGTTTCCTAGTTGTCAACAAAATTATGTGACAAAATTTTGTTGATCTATTAAAACAGTAACTTGGCTTCAGGTGCACACTAGAGTCAACAGGAAAACTCTTAAAAATGGTTTTTATTAAAACTACTCAAGGGGGCTGAGTAAGGGGCTCAGTGGTAGAGTGCTTGCCTTGCATGCATAAGGCCCTGGGTTCGATTCCTCAGCACCACATAAGCAGAAAAAGCCAGAAGTGGTGCTTTGGCTCAAGCAGTAGAGTACTAGCCTTGAGCTGAAGAGCTGAGGGACAGTGCCCAGGCCCAGAGTTCAGGCCCCATGACTGACCAAAAAAAAAAAAAAACTACTCAAGGAAAAGACGAGGGTAGGTAGACAATAAAACAATGGCAGACAGATGGTAATTCCAGATGCCAGATGTTCCTTACAGTATTCTCTGAAGTGTTTCATGGGACTTAACACAGGGCTTACTCAAGAAGGCACTCTAGGGGCTGAGGTGACTCAGTGGTAGAGTGCTTGCCTTGCATGCATGAGGCCCTGGGTTCGATTCCTCAGCACCACATAAAGCAGAAAAAGCCAAAAGTGGTGCTGTGGATCAAGTGGTAGAGCGCTAGCCTTGAGCTGAAGAGCTGAGGGACAGCGCCCAGGCCCAGAGTTCAGGCTCCACGGCCAGCAAAAAAAAAAAAAAAAAAAAAGGTGGCACTCTATCACTTGAACTACTCTACTTGTCCCTTTTGCAGTGGTCATTTCGAGGTAGAGTCTGGCTTTATGCCCACGATAGACGAGGTGGCAACTGTCCTTCTTGGTCTTCCCCATGTTGCTAGGAGTGACAGGCACACATGATGCCCAGCCATTGGCTGAGATAGTCTCACAAACTTCTTTTTGTCCTCAGCGCCTGGCCAGTCTTCCTTCTTGCCAAGTAACACTAGCGCCCTTTCAACATAGTGGTGGGACAACTGGACACCAACATGCAAAACAGAATGTGGCCTCCATCCTCTGTCAGAAGTTTACTACAAGAACTAGGAAGTTTTGTGAAGTACATAAATGTCCAGAATAAGCGTATAGAGAAAGTAAGTAGTTGCCTGAGGTCAGGAGTGAGAGGATGAGTGGGAATGAGGAATAATTCATGGATATGGGATCTGTCTGAAAAATGAAAATGTTCTTAAAAATTACATTGAAAATACCTGACTCTGAATACACAGTTAAGACCACTGAGTGCATGAAGTGGTATGGAAATTACATCACAGTAAAGTTGTTGCCAGAGACCAAACCCCAAAGCCTGGAAAAGTCTTTGTCACTAATTGTTCTAACTTTATCCCTTCAAATTCTTGCTCCATATGAGAAGTGACATTTAACAAAAAACCTAATGTCCATATCAAAATTGATACCTAGTTCCTTTAACTGCCTGCCCGTGTTAAGATTATGTAGACCAGTGGTTGTCAGTGTTGACTGGCTGCATGTAAAATCAGCAGAGAGCATTCACAAAGTACTAACACCTGTCCTGCAGTAATTGGCATTCATTTCCAGGCTTTGGGGGTTGGTCTCTGGCAACAACTTTACTGTGATGTAATTTCCATACCACTTCATGCACTCAGTGGTCTTAACTGTGTATTCAGAGTCAGGTATGTTCAATGTAATTTTTAAGGACATTTTCATTTTTCAGACAGACCCCATATCCATGAATTATTCCTCATTCCCACTCATCCTCTCACTCCAGACCTCAGGCAACTACTTACTTTATACGCTTATTCTGGACATTTATGTATTTTCACAAAACTTCCTAGTTCTTGTAGTAAACTTTTCTGACAGAGGATGGAGGCCACATTCTGTTTTGCATGTTGGTGTCCAGTTGTCCCAGCACTATGTTGAAAGGGCGCTAGTGTTACTTGGCAAGAAGGAAGACTGGCCAGGCGCTGAGGACAAAAAGAAGTTTGTGAGACTATCTCAGCCAATGGCTGGACATCATGGTGTGTGCCTGTCACTCCTAGCAACATGGGGAAGTTCTATATGTTCTATAAAGGACTGAGTGTGAGGCACGTACCTATTGAGCTCATGGACCATAGATGTATCTCTGTGACCTCTCATTACCATCTGTTGTTCTTTAAGCTGTTTAGCTACCTGCCAGGAGGAAAATAAAATCAAGTTCTTACGAAAATGGAACCAGGTAAGTTGAAGGGATACGGTGGTTAGGAGAGACAGGAGCAAACGACGGAAGGAGTGACACTGATCACTGTCACAAGGGAGGGGTGACATTGTACTCATAAACTGACAAGTTCAATTGAAATCTTTTGTACAACTTAGATTATACACACACATTTTTTTAATCAAGCTCTTAACATTTTACCACCCACTCCCTATCAGGCATGAAGTGTTTTCCACACATTAAAAGTGAAATGTAAGTGCCTCAAGGGTGACATCGTATCATTCCTATTAAAACAGAGGAAAGAGGCTTCAATGCTGTCAAGTACATATCAACTAAACGTTAAACTGGGGTTTCTCAACCTTTTTTTCCATTATCACCTCCACAAGGGGAAGTGAAATACAAAGGCAAAGGGGTTTGGTATGTAGGGGTGAGTTTTAAAGGATCACAAACCATTGTAAAACCTAAGCATCTTTGACATTTGGATTTTTAGCCTCATTAAGAATATATGAAGTAGCCAGGCGCCGGTGGCTTACACCTGTATCCTAGCTACTCAGGAGGCTGAGATCTGAGGATCGCGGTTCAAAGCCAGCTTGGGCAGGAAAGTCCGTGAGAGGGACAGCGCTGAGGGACAGCGCCCAAGCCCAGAATTCAAGCCTCACAAACAACAACAACAACAAAAAAGAATATATGAAGTAAAGCTTGAATGACAAGAATATTGATTACTGTTTGACAACTAATGAATTATTTAATTTGCTTATGAATCAAGAGAACTGTCTTCAAATAAAACAAATACTTACATCTTTAGCTGAGGACCCAGAGACCTCTATCCATGTCTTAGAAAAGAATGCACATGACCCCAGCATGAAGATGATGTAAACAACCACATGGACAGGATCCTCAAATATGGCGCCCATGGACTCAGGAGGAGAAAGATAGTAACAGAGGCCTCCAACCGGGTAAGAACGAGCAGGTCCACCCCCACTGACATCCTATGCAACAAGGAATTACAAATGGTCAGCCTGACCAAATACTTATCAAACATACTCATCACTGGGGATGGAACCCAGGGTTTCACAGAGGTTAAGCATGGACTATACATACCACTGAGTTACCCTCCACTCCCCACTTATTTCTTATTTTGAGATGAAGTCTTGCTATATTGCTCAGGCTGATCCCAAACTTCTGGGCTCAAGAGCTCTTCCTGCCTTAGCCTCTTAAGTACACGAGACTACACAATATACCAGGCTACAATTTACTTTTATGAATTCCAATTTTTCAAAACTTATGACAATATTTTAAGCCTAAAATTCCTAAAAGCCCATGATTCTATATGACTTGTGACTTTTGATCTACTGCTTCATTCCTTTAAAACTCTGTACTATTTTGTAAAAGTCATTTTTAGTATATCACTAACAAACATTAGGGTGAATTGGGGGGAGGGGGAGGAACAGGTTCTATGGCTTGAACTCATGGCATAGGTGTTTGTTCCTGAGCTCTTTTGCTCAAGGCTAGCACTCTACCACTCTGAGCCATAGCACCACTTCCAGTTTTTTTGTGGTTAATTGGAGATAAGTGTCTCTTGGACTTTCCTGCCCGGGCTAGCTTTAAATCGCCATCCTAAGAACTTAGCCTCCTGAATAGAATAGCTAGGATTACAGGTGTGAGCCACCAGCACCCAGCTTAGAATGAATTTTTTTGGGGGGAGGGGCATACTGGGGATCAAACCCAGGACATTGCACTTGCTAGGCAAGCACTTTGCCACTGAGCTACATCCCAGCACTGTGAATATTTTTTTTAAGCATTACATCTATAAAATCTTTGCCTTCCTCAAAACAGGAATGTGAGCACATTTACAACCAGTCTGATTCTATTTAGAACATGAAACTTCTTGGACTGTATCAGAAACATCAAAATATCCTGAGTGATAGTCACATTGATTATCACATTTCAAAGTATCAATAATGCAATCATCTGGATCTGGTGTACACATCAGTAATCCTGGCATTCGAGAGGCTGAGGCAGGAGGATCTTGAATCTGAACTAGCCTGGACTACAGCTAGAAGCCAACTAGAACTACCAAGTGAGACCTTGCCTTTAAACAATAAGCCGGGCACCAGTGGCTCACGCCTGTAATCCTAGCTACTCAGGAGGCTGAGATCTGAGGATCACAGTTCCAAGCTAGCCCCAGCAGGAAAGCCCACAAGACTCCTATCTCCAATAAACCACTAGAAAACTGGAAGTGGCGCCGTGGCTCAGCTCGCCTTGAGCTGAAGAGCTGAGGGACAGTGCCCAAGCTGAGTTTAAGCCCCATGACCCACAAAAATAAAAAATAACAAGAACCAAAACAATTGGCAAAAAAACAACTCAATGCCCAAACTTTATATGATTTGTTGATTTGACATTATTATAAGCAGTCTAGACATATTAAATATATAAACATTTTGAGAGTAAGGAAAAGGGTAACATTGTCCAAAAAGAAATGTACTTTTTTATTTTTTGCCAGTCCTGGGACTTGAACTCAGGGCCTGGACACTGTCCCTATGTTTCTTTTGCTCAAGGCTAGCTAGCATTCTACAACTTGAACCACAGCACCACTTCTGGCTTTTTCTGTGTATGTGTTACTAAGAAATTGTACCCAGGGCCATGCCAGGCAAGCACTCTACCACTAAGCCACTTTCCCAGCCCCATCTTTACCTGACTATTCTAACTATAACCCCTATGTACATCACCTTTATAATAACAATTTTTAAAAAATGAAGGCTGGGCACCAGTAGCTCATACCTATAATCCTCAGGAGCCTGAGAACTGAGGATCAGGATTCTAAGCCAGCCCAGGCAGGAAAATCCATGAACTCTTATGTCCAATTAACTACTAAAGAAAACAGAAGTGGCACTATGGCTCAAAGTGGCAGAGTGCTAGCCTTGATTGAAAAGCTCAAGGACAGCAAGTGCCCAGGCCCTGAGTTCAAGCCCTATAACCAACAAAAAAAATAGATATATAGATATATAGATATGATAAATACACAAAGCAGGCAACATATTTCAAGAATATTGCAAAAATGAACTATTAGGCTAGAATACAAATTCTAAAATTACATTCTCTGCAAAATAAAGGAAATATTTTTAATTCTATAATTTAAAGAGGTAAAACACTCAACAGAATTTTAAATCAATCAAAATTTAATAACCCTTTCTTTAGCTCTTGTCTTGTTAATCCATAGCTACATCCAACCCAGTGAATAACAAGCTAGTTTATTGTCATCAGGCCAAGGAAAATGGGGAAGGATGATGCCAATACCCCATATTATCTGCAGATACCTTCTTTGTTGTTTTAAGAAATAGCTGTGCAGTTTTTAAAACAAAAAACCAAAAGACAAACATTACTATAGACAATAAAGGAATAAGACTACAAAATAGGAAGTCACTTCCATGAAAGCACCTGTGATTTTTACCTAAAAGATCATTCAAATGATATGAGAAAATGCTTCCTATGGGCCTCTCTCTGCTCTTAACAACTAAAGGACCTAAGCAGAAGTTATGTGAACAGGTCCCAAGCCCAGCATTAGAAAAGCTAACATACACCAGTGGGTTGTGGCATGGCTTAAATTGATCTAAATGTAATTACTTCCTTGAAGTACTGTTGACACTCACTATTATTAAGCAAGGAGGAGGTCTAAGTTCAAATGCCAATACTACTCCAATCCCCTAAAAAGTCTCTCAGACAGTAAAATCATTAAATATCCTTAACCAATCTTGGTCTTATAACACTAAGTCTTCCAGCTAAATAATTAAATGCTACAGATAAATGAATCTGAGACTATTACAGCTTCAATGCCTATCCTAGGCAAAAATACAAACATGAAATGCAAATGATAATTTTAAATACTTGACAAATATAAAGCATATACTCACAGCCCACTGTCCCAGTAAGTTAACTAAGAAGTTGCCGCTGAACCGCACAGAGAGCATCTGGGATATAACATAGAGGTTTGAAACCAGGGCAGACTGGAGAATGATGGGAATGTTGGATGTGTAGAAAAGCTTGATGGGATAGCTACTGTACTGTCCTCGATACCGGGCCGATTTGATGGGCAAGTCAACACGAAATCCCTGAAAACAAAATCCAGAGTAGCACTTATCAACAAAAGAGTACAAGCCAGGTGTGGTGGCATACCCTGTAATTCCAGCAATGAGGAGACAGAGACCAGAGGATTGCAAGTTCAAGGAACAGTGTATGGGGTGATAATGTGTGATAATGCTAACAATAGACTCTTGTTTCCAATTCAGTATTCTGCACCTTCACACAAACCTAAATGCCGCCAGTATTTGCTTGACTAAATAGATCTCCAAGCCCCAACCGGTTAGACATTTACTTTCAAATGACATTCTCTTTAAGAACAATATAAAAATACACATCTCACTTCAGTGAAACATGATACTTACCTGAAAATATATAACAACAGCAAACACAAAAACAGTAGCAATGAGATTCATGAGATTGGGTAGGTTCTGCCGGTAAAATGCCTCCCTTAAAGCTCTGACTTTGTCTGTCCTGGTGGCCAACAAATGAAACAGAGCTATGACTGCACCCTCAAACTCAGTACCTGAGAAATGAAGACAGAAATGAACTGTACACACCTTTTTAAAAATCATCAGGTCAAAACAAATCATCTGAAACCCCATATGTGTGCAGACTCTAAAAATATTTAGACCACAGAGGCAAATTTCAGCATAAATCTGAAGTTTTCTCAAGAGACAATTCTTGATTAAAAAAAAAAAAAAGCATCCAAAGTAAAATCTGCAAATATTTTTTTCATTCATAAGGTCTGCCTTTCCTTTGTGGAAAGGGAGTATTTTAAGGAAATGTAAAAAAGCAACAGCAAAGCAGAATAAAAATGTCAGAGTCAAAGGACATATATTTATCAAGCTTGCTTACATTTTGTACTATATTCTTAGATCTGGGATCAGAGTTAGAGGTTAAGTTAGATCAGGATAAGAGCTGAGAGAAGTAGAAGGAGTAAGGGAAAAGACAGAGTGAAATCTTTCAAACTTAAAGGCCAATACAAAGTCAATTAGAGAAGAAGCAAAAGTATGAATGCTGAGAATACAATGATGTCTTTTCATTTGGGAAATCTTAATCCACTACCTTTCATTGCTTCAGGAATGCTGCAGCCAATCAGGTAAACGACTTTGGCAGCTATGGCTTAAGCAAAGTCAACAAAATTTATTTAAAGAAAACAGAAAAAAAAAGTTTTAAAACCTGCTTGCAATCATGGAAACTTGAAATGACAGAGGTTGAAATTTAGATATTCTTTTTAAAATAGAATTACATACTCAACACATCTCTGCTTATTAAGTTTTGAACAATTAGCATTCGCTGTCCCCTGGGCCAACAAGCCAGAACAGCTACAGGTATGTCCACTGCCTGGCGGACACATGTCCAGCACACATCAGCAAAACTCGTGCAGTTGCAGTCACTGTGCAATGTACCTCTGCCAGTGTTAATGGTAGTGGGACTAAAGGCCTTCCAGACAATGGTTTCACAGATGTTGGTGGCAATAAAGAGGGAAATACCAGACCCCAAGCCGTAACCCTTCTGTAGCAGCTCATCTAACAGCAGCACAATCAAACCAGCAACAAACAACTGTAGGAAAAGAAATGCACGTAAGCGGAAGCAAGAATAAACTCAAGAAAGGGGAAGACACAGCAGGCTATTTCAAAGTATGGGCACTTTCAATATCACATGTAATCATCACACTAACTACTATTACCAGTCAGCTTTTGACCTGCTTTACTTCAGTCAGAAGCCAATTTTGAAAATCAAGATTAGAAATATTGTTACATTCTATAGTATACATTTTGTCTTTTAAAGTATATACCATTTGAATAGTTCCCTTATTATGTTTTAAATAGGGCCTGCTTGAAAAACAAGAATGATCACAGCTGTAGAATTTCACAGCAAGAAACTGAAAACATTCCAAATACTCTCAGTCAATAAAAGGCAAAATAAATTACAGAATAACAAATGCAATTTTATACTGCCATTAATTAATAAGAATGAAGACTTACAAAATTCTATCTATAGCTTGTATGTTTACATATGTTTTACATATACTATATATAAAGTCAAAAAGTAGAGCACAATTAACATGCATAGATTATAACACTGTGAAACTAAGTTCTGTACTGACATGACAAAAACTGCATGTAAATCTGAAGACAGTTAAGAGTTCCCCAAGTTCCTAAACTCTAACATTTTAAAATATGGAAGCTACTGACTTCAATTTGTGTGATATTAAGCATCCTTAACCTTCTTGTTGGAGAAGATATTTCTGTGACAACATGCTTCAGGTACAAACAACCCATAGCCTTCCCAGAGACCTCAGTCCCAAGCCTCCTTCCTGACTTGAGTGGCCTCATCCAGAGGGGAAGGAAAGACACTATGTTCCAGCCTCACCCACGTGCCACTTGAAAGACACCATCCTACTGACCCCATAGGAGGCACTACAAGTCCTCCCAACACTGAAGACTTGCTCAGTACTACCTGGCAAGAGGACACAGCAAACCTCGTTTTATCATTTATGCAAGCTTACCTTTACACAACATTGTTGGGGTGTTTTCATTAACTACCATTTCAGTGATTATATAAATCCTACATTGCCAACTTACAATCATTTAGCTTGACCTTCAATACACTGGAAAAAGTACAATTTTCAACCTTAGAAGAGAACATACTAACCCTAGCTTTTTGGAAACCAAGTTTGACATTCTGCCAAAAAGTGAGGACTTACTACTAGATTTTACTTTGACCAAAATGAGGTAATGGCTGAGAATTCCCAACAAACACAGCCACTCAATCCCACACAAGGAATAATGGCTGTCCAGCAATTATCAGCCAACCAAATGCACTACCCTGGGCTCTGATGGGTGACCTGTGCAAAGTCACACAAGTGGCTCTGACATGATGGCTACTCTAAACTTCTGGTTCAGAATAGCGTCTGACTTCAGAGTGCTTCCTTGGCTTAGAAAAGAGACTCCTGTTTTCCCAAGCAGGGAAAAAAGGAACTAGAAGGAAAGAAAGCTCAATGAGGAATGATTTCTACCATTAAGGAAGGAAGGGTGGTAGTAAGAAAGCATAGATGCTTGTGAGAGACCAGGAAGTAGCAGCAGGCGTGTAAGCAACACAGTGTGAAGAACAGAGGGTAGCCTCAGGCGTATAGGAAACAACCACACTTGGTACTTGAACCCTGATGTGCAAGCACACAACACTTCCTTTGACAAAATATGCTTATGATTACTATGTGCCAGGCACACTGACGTTTCTGGTTTGTTTGTTTTTACTTTAATCAAGATTCAGGCCCATCAGTAGAAAAGACTGTGTATGAGACAAGAACAAATAAAGTAAGAAATACCTTCCATACAGCATGCAAACCGTTTTCAAAAACCTATGTTTCTAGGTGAAAACAAACTGATCCAATCTTAGCTCTTCCGTATATCCACATATTTTCAGTGTTAGCAATGCCTTGAAAAGACACAAATGGGTCACTTCCTACCGAGGATCAAACATGACATATTTGTACATTAACACTAGAAGAATTAATCACAACACAAATACTTATATCCCTGAATTTATATAAACAAATTAATATGTATTCACTTGTATTTTATTGGACATAACGACTCAGAGATCTGAATACTGAAAATAACCATCAGAATCACTTAGCTGCATTTTATATCTGTATGAATTCTATAGAAGCCAATCCTCTTCAAACCAACCCAAGATTGCTCAGTTTAGGTTCCCAAGCAGTCTAAATGTATCTTTAGGAAAAGACTGGTGCATAATGCTCTCAGAGCTAGATACCCATTCTGAATGTCTTCTAAAAATCTGGGCTATTCTGGGCTTATGGTATAGCTAAGTGGTATCAAATGTATGCTTAGCATTCTCAAGGCCATGGGTTCAATGCCCAAGACCAAAATAAGACACATTAGTAATTGTCAACTATAGATGCGTAAAGCAAATGCTGTGAAGAAACTACAATGAGGCAATAAATGCCCTGCTGGCATGCTCACAATCCCAACAGTGTGTGATGAGAAAGTAATAAAATCAGTCTCAGAGGTCTTCTCCCATCCACTCAGCTCTTCTTCCTTCAAATGGCTAACATATTAGTAAACATGTGATTTGCAAATGGAGATAGAGAGGCAATACTAATCTCACATTAGTAGATGGAGAGGAGTGGGTGTCACTGGGGTTTGAACTAAGGGTCTGCATGCTAGGCAACTGTTCTACCACTTGAGTCAGGACCACAGCCCTAGGCAACATTATTCTTTAAGAAACTGCATCACATGAAATAGGAATATACTGGGCTAAGAAATCTACCAAAGATCATTAAAAATCTCTAAGCTGGCGCCTGTGGCAATCAGAGGATCACAGTTACAAAGTCAGCCTAAGCAGACATATCCATAAGACTCATCTCCAAATAACTACAAAAGGCCAGAAGTGGAGGTATAGCTCAAGCAGTAAAGTACCAGCTGCAAGCAGAAAAGCTGAATGAAATGATCTTTTCAAACCCCACTATCAGCATCAAAAAGAAAAAAAAAGAAATTCTTGCCCTAGTCAAGGGACAAAATATTTATCTTTTTTAGAAAAGCCAGTTCTTCGGTGAATGATACCAACAAATACTTGTTCTGGCTCATGCTCACTAAACAATCTTACTTATTTCAGGGCTAGGAATGTGGCTTAGTAGTAAAGTGCTTGCCTAGCATGCATGAGGCCCTAGGTTCGATTCCTTGGTACAACATAAACAAAAAATAAATAAAATTAATTAGAAAAAAACAATCTTATTATTTCTATGTAAAGTTTCAAATTAAAAAAATAGTTACCATACATATACATATATATGTGCACACACACATACATACATACATATATACACATATATATACACATAAATATATCTTGGAGTTATTTTTAAAAACTTTTCTGAGCTTTATCTTTTGAGCTGTTAGAAAAATATTTCCTAAATTAATTCTGATTTCATAGAGTAGTCAAGAAAAACACATTTCCAAAGTAGCCAGGACATTGGACCCAAGGTTTTTTTTAACTTAATAAAATATCTTTTCAAGACATTAAAGAGTCAAGGTGTGCCTCAGGTAATAGAGTGCTTGCCTAGCAAGCTGAAGGCCCTGGGTTCTATCTCTAGTAGTACACCAAACAAAAAAAAAGTAATCATCACCATCAATATTTTTTTAAACCCACAGTAAGTATTATATAACTTAAATACAATCCATTCTGGAGTAATTTCTCTCAGTGACTTTTTAAAGCATCAGACAAAAAAAAAATCTTAACACACTTCAAGATATTTTGTACATTTATAATTATGCTGGCCTCCACTGGGTGCCAGTGGCTCACATCTGTAATCCTAGCTATTTGGGAGGCTGAGATCTGAAGATCACAGTTCCAAGCCAGCCTGGGCAGGATAGTCCATGAGATTCTTATCTCTAGTTAACCACAAAATAAGGCAGAAGCAGAGCTGTGGCTCAAAGTGGTAGAGCACTAGCCTTGAGCAAAAATAGCTCAGGAACAGTGCGAGGCCCTGAGTTCAAACTTCACAACTACCAAAAAAACATTATGCTGGTTTTTAAAAATTCCATTCCCAAATATTCATTTAAAATGTCCATGGTGTGCGTGTGCGTGCGCACGTGTGTGTGTGTGTGTGTGTGTGTGTGTGTGTAAATCTACATTATTATTTATATCATTCTTTTGTATACCACTAGAAGAAAAGAACACTGCTGAGCATGGAGACACGTGACTATCATCCCAGTATGCAACAGGTGGAGGTGGAAGACTGAAAGTTCAAGATTAAATTGAGGCCGGGCGCCGGTGTCTCATGCCTGTAATCCTAGCTACTCAGAAGGCTGAGATCTGAGGATCTCGGTTCAAAGCCAGCCCGGGCAGGAAAGTCCATGAAATTCTTATCTCCAATAAACCACTCAGAAAACCGGAAGTGGTACTGTGGCTCAAGTGGTAGAGTGCTAGCCTTGAGCTGAAGAGCTCAGGGACAGCAATCAGGCCCAGAATTCAAGCCCCACTACTTCCAAAAAAAAAAAAAAAAGAATAAACTGAGCTACATATCAAAAAAGCAAAGACTGGGAAAGTAGCTCAAGGGTAGAGTGGCTGGATGTGATGCCAAACACGGAGAAAAAAACTAAAGCTTGCCAAGTTACGGTATCACTTCTTACTACAAGGAATTTTTATGTTCTGCTTATTTAAATAGGTATTTCAGACATAGACACACAGTTATCATCTAGCTTGCTTTCTGTTTCTTTCTGTATGCACAATCACTTTTATTTCAAGAAAGGTTTTTCTTTCACAAAGGTTGGTGGAGACAGAGTCTCACCATATTGCTTAGGCTGGTCAAAAATTAGGAGGCTCAAATGATCTTCCCACCTCAGCCTCCCAAGTAGCTGGGACTACAAGCATATGCCATCAGCACTGTTGCTTAACAAGAGTTTTTCAAGACATTACAAAGAGCAATTAAGCCCAACTATCTGTTATAAACACTGCACAGAACCAGCTAACACAGGGACAACTTGAGTAGCTGCAGCCACGCAGACAAATGCATACACAATGAGAACTTTCGTGGCTGCCCATGATGATCGCAATTCTGATTTCATACAGCAAAATGTAAACAATGTACATCATAAACCAATGAAAAGAGGTGGTACATAATTCTTGGACATCTGTGAAGCTATAAAATTTCTTAATCATCACAATGTATACATACACCATCATTAATCTAAATGTAACTGAAATATTCACAAGAAAATAATGTTTCAAATCACTTACAGAACTGTTAGAAAACCAAGAGCAGACCGTTCTATGAGCATATGAAAATGGAAGACTCTTACCTGTATAATGATAAGCAGACAGATCCCAGCGCCCATTTCTGCAGGGTCCCCGTACATCCCCGTCATGACATACACAATGGCTTGCCCAATGGTAATGATCATACCAAATACTGACAAAAATTGGGGGGAAAAGGAACACATGCTTACAACCAAAGATGAAGAAAGCCCAAAAAAGTATAGGAACATCTTTCCCACAAAAAATCTCAAATTTCAGAATTCTCCTTAATGGCATTTATGCTCACGTTTCTGGGCCCCATTGAATAGAGCTCTGTCTTTGGGTGTGTCTCCAACTTCAATTATTTTGGCTCCAGCTAACAACTGCATAATTAAACCAGATGTTACAATTGGGGAGATACCCAATTCCATCAAAGTTCCTGGAAAGAAAGGAAAGAAGTAAACCACATTTATTGAACATACTACAGACCAGAGTGTTGTAGTTCACTGAAATATGGTTAAATATTAACAAGCAAATTTTCATTCCTTAAACACTAATTTAAAAAGTTCACCTATTACACAACCCTGAAACAGTACATTCAATCAAAAGTTGTATAAGTATTATTAAAATGTAAATGTCTGTAAATTTTTTTTTTTTGCCAGTTGTGGGGCTTGAACTCTGGGCCTGAGCGCAGTCCCTCAGATCTTCAGCTCAAAGCTAGCACTCTACCACTTGAGCTCAGCGCCACTTCCAGTTTTCTAGTGGTTTATTGGAGATAAGAATCTCATGGTCTTTCCTGCCAGGGCTGGCTTTGAACCGGGATCCTCAGATCTCAGTCTCCTGAGTAGCTAGGCGTGAGCCATCGGCACCCAGCTAAAAAGATTATTTTTAAAAGAAACCTTCAGGGGTGTGGTTATAGCTCCATGGTACAGAATGTGAAACCCTGGGTTCAATCACCAGCACCAAAACAGAAAGTACTTTGAAAAATTTTAAATAGTAAAAAGAAGCCAGACACTGGTGGCTCACATCTATAATCCTAGCAATTTAGAAGGCTAAGGATAAAAGTTCAAAGCCAGCCCAGGCAGACAAATATGTGGTACTCTTATCTCCAATTAACAAGGAAAGTGTTGAAACTGAAGTGTGGCTTAAGTGGTAGAGCACCAGCTATAAGCAAAACACTAAGTGAGAATGTGAGGTTCTAAAATCAAGCACCAGAACTCCCTCCCCCCCCCCACACACACAAGAAAGTAATAAAAAAAAAAAAAAAAAGGAGCTGACTGCCAAATATAGTAGTATACACCTGTAATCCCATCTACTTGCAACAAGGAGACCGGAATATAAAAATCTGAGGTTAGCCTGGGAAATATAGCCAGAGACCCTATCTGGAAAGGGATAAACAAGGATGGTTGGGAGACAAAGAATGAGTAAGGATGGGACATAAAAGGACCTTGGCAAATGACTGACCACTTATAGAAAATTAAGATTCCTACTTCATGCCAGCTGGGCGCCAGTGGCTCACACCTATAATCTCACATCTAGCCACTCAGGAGGCTGAGATCTGAGGATCACTGTTCAAAGCCAGTGCAGGCAGGGGAAAGTCCATGAGACTCTCCAATTAACCACCAGAAAACCGGAAGTGGTGCTGTGGCTCAAGAGACAGAGCACTAGCCTTGAGCTGAAGAGCAGAGGGACAGCACCCAAGCCCAGAGTTCAAGCCCCACGACCCATTAAAAAAAAAAAAAAAAAACAGTGCATGTACCAGTGGCTCATACTTGTAAGCCTTGCTACTTCAGATATCAGCCAGATCTGACTTCAAAGCCAGCCTTAAGACTCCATCTCAAATTAACCAGCCAAAAGAAAGAAAAGTCAGGCTGAAGGTATAGCTCAAGCGGTAAAGTCCCAGTTGTGAGCTAGAAAACAAAGTGTGAACAAGGCCCTTGGTTCAAATTCCAGTACCAATACAAAAACAAAAGGCAGGGTATATGAAAGAAAAAGGCTTTCTAAACATGACAAAAGTCAGTAAGAAGATAAGATGATTAAATAAAACTATAAAAGTGGATGTAGCAAGATACAGTACCAGAGACAGTTCAGCTCCTCTGTATATTCTATATATATTTTAATACAAATGATAGAGTTCATGTCTCCAATATGCGAACAGCTCATTCAACTAAAACATGGGGAAAAATAAACATTTTTAAAAAAGGAGCTGCAGTTATATGGCTCCTTCCTTCTGAAAAAGCTTCAATGTTTTTCAGAAATTATTCACAGCACTGCAAACAAAACTCATCAAATTGGTATAAGAAACAAAGGATATGGGAGCTGCCAGCACTGTCACAAAAGGTCCACATCCCTGTTACTAGGCCCGGGCAATGGCCCTTAGTCCTAAACCGCATTTATGGATTCCAAAAAATTACCAACATCCTTCTGGTATCCTTTCATTTTGCCATTGAAACTATTTGGGAATTTTCTATTATTTACAACATCAGAAATTTAACACACTATGAAAATCTCACTAATGGAAAAATACAAATTATGAATAAAAATGTTAAGTGTTCAAACAAACCAACATGTAAAGAAATACATATTAATACAGGCCAATTTTCATCTGCCTAGTTGACAAGTTATTCTCAACTATTGTTGCTGAAAGAATAAAGTAACACAACCCTTTGAAAGATAATTTAGCATTTCTACTGAACATTTCTAACTATCTACTTATAACCAAACAGGTCAGTTCTCTCATTTCTGACAGATCTCCATCCACATATCACCTTCTATCCAATGTAGAATCTATACCCACAAATTGAAATGATAAATTCCATGGAAACTACACTGAGCTGCTCACTGCTCTAGTCTCTTGCACTTAGCACAAAGCTTAGCACAGAGGAGAAACTCACGACTATTTGTCGACTGTGGATATAAATAAGCTGGAGCATATCCTTTTATAACATATGGCCAAATAGATGAAATGGCTCATCTAAGTTATTAGAGAGACCAGGTACCAGAATGGCATAGAGGATATATCCTACTTTTTAAAGTATATATACATTTAAATATGTGAATACATATGAAAAGAAAAAAATCTCAATGAATAGTTGCCAATCTACCGCTTTCCAAGAACTGCTTCTTAGAGATCAAACGTTCATTTGTGGCTTCATATACATCTATATATAAATACTCATGTATTTTCAAGATAAAAATCAAGTCAATCATGGTGGCTTCAAGCTAGTTGGGAGGGAGAAATAAGAGGACTGCAGTTCAAGGCAGGCCAAGGCACAAAGATATCTGTGAGACTCCCTCTCAACCAGTGGCTAGATGCAATGGCCCAAGCCTGTCATCCAGTTACAGTGAAATACAAGAGTTGGTTGCAGTGACATACTCCTGCCAGAAGGATCACAGCCTAGGCTGGCTCTGACGAACCAAGACCCTATTTCAAAAACAACCAACACAAAAAGGGTGGAGGCAAGGCTTAAATGATAGAGCACCTGCCTAGCAAGCACGAGGCCCTGAGTTCCACCCACAGTATATCAGTATGTAGGCATGTATGTATAAATAAAACCAATATTATTCTTGTAACCTAAAAATGCTACAAAAAAAAATACTTTCCTGCTTTATAAAGCGTTTTCCTAAAGCAGGCCCTCACTATTCCTGAAACGTAAAACTCTCCCTGGCCACCCACCTCAGCCCGTCTCCCAGACTCTAGTGCTCAGTCTTATCCTGGAGGCTTTAGCTCAGGCTTTCATCTCCCACTGATCCAAAGGTTGCCCCAATTCCTCTCTGACACCACATGTGGCACACAGAATGTTTAGTCTGTGAGAACCCCAAGGGTGGATTTCTGCCTATCTTTACAATAATCACACGATATTGTAATGTTTCCATGGTTTCTGGCACAAGTCAATGGGGCTCACAGCAATAACTTGGCTGAAATATAGCCAGACAGAAAAGTTCAAACCCCAATATGGCCAAATATTTTTTTTTTTAAATTGTAGTACTGGGGATTGAACCCAGAGCCTTATACATGCTAAACAAGCACTCAGTCTCAGTTTCTTTTTTTGTTTTTTTGGGTCCAGTTGTAGGGAACTCTGGGCCTGGGCGCTGTCCCTCAGCAATTCAGCTCAAGGCTAGCGCTCTACCACTTGAGCCACAGCGCCATTCCAGCTTTTTTCTTTTTGCTTATGTGGTGCTGAGGAATCGAACCCAGGGCCTCATGCATGCAAGGCAAGCACTCTACCACTGAGCCACCTTCCCAGCCCTCAGTCTCTTGAGCCACACCCATCACTCTTGTTTTTATTCTACTTTAGAAATATAGTCCTACTACCCTTTTATCTCTACCTCCCAGGTAGCTGGGATCACAGGCATGAACCACCATGTTTGTCTTCAAAAGTAGTTCTAAATCCACAGGATTCAAACTAGGGTTTGAACTCAGCGCCTTGTGCTTGCCAGGCAGCTGTTCTACAACTGAGCTACACCTTCAGTCCCTTTGTGGGCTGGTTAATTTGAGATAGGGTCTTGCTTTTGGCCTGGGTCCAAACCTGAGCCTCGTTTCTACTAAATGCTTTCTAATGTATCCAGAAAGATGGTACACACTTTGCCCACCTACTGGTTGGGAAAGGGTCTCTAGAATGTTTTGTCACGAATATCCTCAAACTAAGATCCTCCTGATCTCTGCCTCTCAAGTAAGCTAAGATTACTAATATTGAGTCACCATGTCTAGCAGTAACTGACATGTTTACATTTACTTGATGTCAGTATGTAGGCAAATATTAGTACATACCTCTATTGGAAGCAAGAATAACTCTCATCCAGTAGAAAGGGTCTGCAGAATCTGATGACATGATTCCAAACAGTGGTATCTAAAATGTGACACAAAACATTTTATAAAAAATACAAATGCATTCTAGCTTTGCTCCTAATATATAATGTATTCTCTTAGGTTTGCAATACTTTTTTTAAAAAATCACACACATACACAATTTCTTGCAATCTATAACACCACCAAGTATATCATTTTGGGAAATGAATGGAACTAGGAAATGAATTTATGGCCCACTGCTTGTTAGGCAAGCACTCTACTACTTGAGATATGACCCCAGTCCTTTTGTTTTATAGTCTGTTCTTAAATAGGGTTTCCTGCTCTTACCCTAACCAGTCTTGGGCCTCAGTTCTCCTACCTTCACCCCCAGAATAGCTGGAATTACAGTTATATTCTACCATGCCTGGCATGTTTTTTAGATAAGGTCTCATTAACTTTTGTCCTGGCTGGACTTGAAATATGATCCTTCTATCTCTGCCTCCCAAGTAATTAGGATTATAAGTCATCTACTACCCTACCAAGTCCCCAAAGAAACATATCTTTGTTTACATTTTTGTGCCAGTCCTGGGGCTTGAACTCAGGGCCTGGGCATTATGCCTGAGCTTTTTTGCTCAAGGCTCTACCACTTGAGCCACAACTCCACTTCTGGCTTTTTTTTTTTCGGTGTTCAACTGGAGATAAAAATCTCACCACTTTCTTGCCAACAATGGCTTTGAACCCTGACCTCAGATCTCAGTTTCCTGAGAAGCCAGGATTACAGGTGTAAGCCACCAGCACTCAGCAAAACACTCCCACCACCCCAGCAGATCCACACCAAAAACTACTAAACTACATGCCTACAAGTCACTAGGAAGGTAAATTTTATTGTTTTTTGAGTATAATTTTAAAATACTCCCATTATAGGACTTATCTGATTTGTCACATAACAATTTTGTGGTTGGGAAATAGGAGGAGAATGAGGGAAGGGGTGACATTGGTCAAAAAAAAATTTTTTTTTTGTCAGTGGTAGGGCTTGAACTCTGGGCTTAGACGTTGTCCCTCAGCTCTTCAGCTGAAGGCAAGCGCTCTACCACTTGAGCTACAGCGCCACTTCCGGTTTTCTAGTGGTTTATTAGAGACAAGAGTCTCATGGTCTTTCCTGCCCGGGCTGGCTTTGAACCATGATCCTCAGATTTCAGCCTCCTGAGTAGCTAGGATTACAGGCGTGAGCCACCAGCGCCAGGCTCAAAATGTATTATACTAATAAGTTTTTTAATTGAAACCCCTTTGTACAACTATTTAAAGATAATTTTAAAAATTTATAATAATTTTGGAAGCCAGGTACGGGTCAATGAAAATCACACTCCTAGATGTAAGACAGGAGAAAATACATGTATAAACACACGCATATATACATATACATACAAATATGTGTATCTGAGTATATATATATGTATACATACACATACAGACATGCTGGAATACTATACAGCCCTAAAAATATGCTAATTAATTTGTAATAATAATATCTTCCTCATGTTAAGTATATAATAGTGTTCTCAACCTGGGATGATTTTGCCTTCAAAAGGACATTTAGTCTAGACTCACCTTTGATTGTCACAACTTGGTAGTAGATGGTTATTACTGATACTGAGCACCTAGAGGCCAAGGATGCTACTAAAAATCCTATAATGCACAAGGTAGTCCCCATAAGAAGAAAGTATCCTGCCTGAAACTCAGTAATACCACTATTAAGAAACACTATATAAAAACAAAGATATAAAACTACATGAAGTGTAGCAATGCAAAAATATGAATATTAAATTAAGCTCAAAATAAATATCTTAAATCTTAAAATCATGGCTTAAAAATCTTGTCACAATTATTCCTAGAGTTAGTGAGATCATAATTGTCCTTTTCTTCTTTATTCTCTTCAGGAATTATTGAATATTAATATAATCAGCATGTAACAATTTCTCCTCATGGAAAAAAAAAATCCACAACTGCAGAGAGCTTCCTATCACATGACCCATGTTAGACACAGCACTAGGACATATAGCCTGTCCTCAACTATGTGACAATCAGTCACGAAGAAAAATACAATTTTTAGGCTGAGAAGGTGGCTCAGTGGTAGAATGCTTGCCTTGCATGCATGAGGCCCTGGGTTCGATTCCTCAGTACCATATAAGCAGAAAAAGCTGGAAGTGGTTCTGTGGCTCAAGTGGTAGAGTGCTAGCCTTGAGCTGAAGAGTTGAGGGACAGCGCTCAGGCCCAGAGTCCAGACCCCACGACTAACAAAAAAAAATAGAAAAAGAAAAATACAATTTTTGAAATACAATTTTAAAACCTCTACTGAAATTGATTTTTCTTTAAGGCACAAAGATGCTGCAAGCCATTTTAAACAACATAAACACCTCTGGATGCCAGATACCACAAGTGGTGAGACTGAGCCCGGGGCTGTTCTCTGCAGCCTCCAAAACCCTTCAGCTAAAGTGAGGGTGAGAAATAATGAAGTGTTGGTGTAAAAATCAGTGCACAATAAACAACAATCCCCAACAAAGCTCTCCTGACCTCTTCTGGTGCCATCAAAGTCTCAAATCCTTCACCTTAATCTTTCTTTTAGTTACCCTGACAAAATCCAACTTGTACTTTGTCTGAGAAATCAAGTATTCCATGGACTAATGGAAACCTGAACAGATCTAATAAAGACTTGCAGTTGTTATTTGCAAAGACAATGGGAATTAAAAACCAGTTAAGGTAGGTCTGGGAGGAGATAGCAAGTCCCAGGAATGGAGGCGAAACTCAGAGGCACAGCACTTGGGTAGCATTTCCAAGGCCCCAGGCTCTATCTCCAGACCTTCAAATAAAAAAGATCACAAGCTACAATTATGGAATTTCTCTCCCCCACTACATAATAAAACCATGTAGAAACCTTAAAAGCTAACAAGAATGTTTTAAAAGACTGTTTGGCAAACAGCCAAACAAGAAGTGTTCTAAACCAGAGGCACCATGGCTGGGGTGGGGGATAAGAATCAGAACAAAGGTACTCTAATCATCAAGGAGTCGACATCACCCTTAGAATCCCCACTAACGTTCCGTATCTGGAGGAAAGCAAATGTCCTAATGCACATGTCCTAATTTCCCCTCGTTTGGTGAAGAAAGAGTAGACGTAGCAGCTGTGGAAAATGAAATGACAGAGAAATGTGCCATGTCCTCTAAGAGGGACTGGAAATTAACTAGGAATTACTACCCTAAACTGGGAACTGGGAAGTGACCTGGAGCTGGAATAAAATACAAGCCTCTGGTCAGGTGGTGAAAATCTTTAAATGGTTAACAAAACTCCAAGAACAAAGGGCCCACCAAGCACTTAATCGTTTTCTCACTTATCTCCCCCTCTCACCCTCTCAATTTAGAGAACACAGCCTAGGACCTGTTTCAGAGCCAGTGGAAAGATAATTAAGAAATCATATTCCCAGGACTCATCGGCTTAAGCATGACAGAGAAAAAAAGAAACAGCTGAACAACTATATAAGCATAGGGAAAAGTAAAGTAATATAAAATGCATGAAGCAGTCCTGAGAAATGTCATTTATTCAGTTGTCTACATAGGTTCCTGGATTATATATACAAATCATAAAATGTTTATTATCTCATCCTTTAAAAGTTTCCTAGTCTCTGAATTAGAAGATTAGGAAAATGATAATTCTCTTAAATTGACCTATAAACTGAAAGCAATACAAATCATACTCCCACAGAAAGTTATGGAAGTTGGTTTCAAGGATGTGTGGATATATAAAGGACCAGAATAGCCAAAATGATTTTGAAAAAGAAACAAGAAGGCTTTCTCAAACTGGTTAGGCCTTATAAAGTTACAGGAATTAAAAGTGTAGTTGATTATAATGAACATACAGATTAACAAGTCAGAATAGAGAAGTAGAATCATTGCTAATTCATTGGGGAATTCCTTCAACAAATGGTGCTAGAACAACTGTATAGCCATATAAGAAGAAATAAACCTCAACCCTTACCATATGCTATACATCCACATTAACTTGGGACACAGACACATACAAGCTAAAATGCTTAGAAGAACATTTGATTTCTTTCAAAACCACAAGTCATCAAAGAAAAAGATAAACAGCTCTATCAAAGTATAAATGTCTGTTCTTCAAGATACTGTGAAGAAAATAAAAAGCCCAGCTATTTGAGAGGTGAAGGTAGGAGGATTTAAAAAAAAAAGGCGAGGTTTAGATAATGTTTCACACCTGTAATCCCTGTATCTTGAGAGGTAGAAGTAAAAAGATCATAATGACAAGCCCAGCACTGGTAGCTCACCCCTTTAACCCTAGCTACTCAAGAAGCTAAGATCTAGGGATCATGGTTCAAAAGCCAGCTCAGGCAGGAAAGTCTGTGAAACTCTTACCTCCAATTAACCACTAAAAAACTAGAAATGGCACTGTGGCTCAAGTGGTAAATCACTCACCTTGAACTGAAGAACTCAGGGACAGCACCCAGGCCCATAGTTCAAGCCCCACAACCGACCCAAAAAAAAAAAAGGATCATGATGAGAGGCCATCCCAAAAAAAGCATAAGACCTTATCTGAAAAACATACAAAAGTAAAAGGGCTGAGGTTGTGGCTTAAGTGGTACAGTGCCTGCTTAGTAAACTCAAGGCCCTAAGTTCACAACCCACTACTGCCACTACCCCCCAAAAAAGAAAGAAAATGAAAAGCAAGCCAGACTGCTTTTTTTTTTTTTTTTGGTGGGTCCTGGGGCTTGAACTCTGGGCCTGGGTGCTGTCCCTCAGCTCTTCAGCTCAAGGCGAGTGCTCTACCACTTGAACCACAGCGCCACTTCCGGTTTTCTGGTGTTTACTGGAGATAGGAGTCTCACGTCTTTCCTGCCTGGGCTGGCTTTAAATCTCGATCCTCAGATCTCAGCCTCCTGAGTAGCTAGGATTACAGGTGTGAGCCACCAGCGCCCAGCTTGACTGCAGAAATATAATAAAGGCACTTTCACAGTACATTTATTAGGCAAAAAAAATATACATCCCGGGGCTGGGAAGGTGGCTCAGTGGTAGAGTGCTTGCCTTGCATGCATGAGGCCCTGGGTTCGATTCCTCAGCACCACATAAGCAAAGAAGAAAAAAACGGATGTGGCACTGTGGCTCAAGTGGCAGAGCGCTAGCCTTGAGCTGAAGAGCTGAGGGACAGCGCCCAGGCCCAGAGTTCAAGCTTCACAACCGACCAAAAAAAAAAAAAAAACAAAAAAAAAACCCATACATTCCGAAAACACAATTCAAGGCAATAAATGGTTTCTTCAAATGGGTAAAACATTTGGAAAGACAATTTTACAAAATACCCAATATACAAATACTCCAGGTGACTGATAAGGAAAATACAAATTGAAACCCCATCTAGTAGGATTTCCTCTAGAGCAATGACCACAAGACCTCAGCTGTGGTATGGATCCTCAGGGAGGATCTAGGTAAGGACACAGACAGGAAATTCTAACACAAAGTACAGAAAAGAACTGACAATTTCCTACAAACCTGAAAACATGTATTTACTACAACTCAGCAATTCTTCCTACAGACCGACCCCCAAATGAGAACAAACGTACACAGAAAGATCGGTGCATATGTCCACAGCAACTTCAGTAGAGCCAAATTTGGAAACAGGCCAAATGTCCAACAAATGAAAGGATGGATTAAATCATGATATATTACCAGAAAAGAACACTACTTCAGAGTAAAAATTACTGATTTACTAATGGTACGGATGAATCTCAAATATAACGAAGTCAGACACTAAAATCTAAAAACACTTATATGAAATTCTAGGAAGGAGCCAACTACCAGTATTTGGTTGCTCACACCTATAATCCTACCCTGAAAGGATAAGACCTAGAGGGAATCTTAGGCAGAGAAGTCTGAGAGATTTCATTGCCAATTAACCAGCAAAACTGTCAAAGGGAGGGCTGGCTCAAGTGGCAGAGCACCAACCATGAATGATAAAGCCAGGCAAGAGTTCAAACACAAAAAGAGAAAAAAAAATTCCAGAAAAGATAAGCTAAATTGTAGGGACAGGGAACATAGAAGATCCATGCCCACACAGGACTGAGGATTAGGAGGCACTGACTGAGAAGCATGACTGGGAACTTTTGCAGGTAGCAGAAACATTCCATATCCACTCCAGGGGCATACACCATTTCTTGGGTGTACATATTTGTTCAAATTCTTCAAAATGTAATTAAAAAATTGACATAAATTTTACATTGTACTTTATTGCGATAAAGTTGATTTTAATGAGGGGAGGGGAACTTGCAAGTAGTTAAGTGTAAATGACAGCAATACAGATGACTTCTTTTCTTTGTACTCTTCTAGAATTTAAACCATTTTTAAACCAAGTACACTGGTAAAACTACCATAGTGATATTTTCATTTCATCAAATGTGGGTTTGTTCCCGATTTTAAGCTGTTATACTGCTTCCTAAGGCAAAATTTAAAAGTATTTTATGTGTATTTTAATAGCTTTGTTAAGTTCTCAAAAAACTTTCACCTAAATTATGATACTGAATCCTCACAACCCTGAGACACACATCACATTTTAGTCTTATTTCTCCACAAAACTTGATACAAAAGTATCCCCACTGATATGTACAATTTCTGATAACATGTATCAGTTACATTTTAAAAGGACTAGGTGCCAGTGGCTCATGCCTAAAATCCTCGCTACTCAGGAGGCTGAGATCTGAGGATCTCAGTTCAAAGCTAGCATAGGCAGGAGAGTCCATGAGACTTTTTGCCAGTCCTGGGGCTTGGACTCAGGGCCTGGACTCTGTCCCTAAGTTCTTTTGCAAAAGGTTAGCACTCTACCACTTAAGCCACAGCATCACTTCCAGTTTTTTCTGTGTATGTAGTACTGAGGAATCAAACTCAGGACCATATGCATACTAGGCAAGGACTCTACCACTAAATCACATTCCCAGCCTCCATGAGCCTCATCTCCAATAAGCACCAAAATGCTGGCAGTGGAGGTGTAGCTCAAGTGGTAGAGTGCCAGCCTTGAGCAAAAGAGCTCAGGGACAGTACCCATATCCTGAGTGCAAGCCACAGTACTAACTGGCACCACAACAGCAGCAACGAAAAGAATACTACTGGATCTACTACTAATGGTTGTATACAGTAGTGGATGATCCTGAGGTTCTCAAAACTTGTAGGATATTTAAGTCAATACATGCTATTTACAACATAATAATAGTCAAACTGTAAAAATTATTTGTAATCTATATATCAAAGATACTTTTACATAGAGAAAGCAATCCAAATTGAATTTTAAAAACTCAACAAAAACATTAAAAATGTCATTAAAATGGGAAAAATGTTCAAACTCACTAGTAAGTAAAAATACATAGAACAAGATAGTATTTGTAATATCCAAACAATTCAGCTTAAAAATAACAGAAAGCTAGTGACTTGTTCCTATAGTCCTAGCTAGTCAGGAGGGTAAGGTCTGAGGATCTTGGTTCAGAACCAGTCCAGGCACACAAACCAGCAAAACTTTTCTATTTAAATAACAAACAAAAAGTTGAGCCAGGCACCATTGGCTCACACCTATAATTCTAGCTACACAAGAGGCTGAGATCTGAGACCTGCAGTTCTAAGCCAGGCTGGGCAGGAAAAATCTGTGATACTCTTATCTCCGATTAACTACAAAAAGATAGAAGGAGAGCTAGGGTTCAAATAGTAGAGTGCTAGCCTTGAGCACAAGAAAACTCAAGGACAGCACCCCAGACCCTGAGTTCAAGTCCCAGTACTAACAAAAAAAAAGTTGGAAAAGAAGCCATGACTCAAGTGGTAGAGAGCTAGTCATGAGTGGAAAAAACTGAGCAAGAAGAACACAGGCTCTTTTTGACCCAATAATGGCCAAAAAACAAAAAACAAAATTATGCTCAACTGGTGGTATAGGTCAGTGGTAGAGAACTTGTCTGCTATGTGCAAGTCTCTGGGTTTCATCCCCAGTATCACAAATAATAGCAGTAATAACAACAACAATCCTCAATATATTTCACTATATTATTTTAACTAACATGAATTTCTCAAATTCTAAATAATCTAGATCTCAGAACAATCATACAGACACTGATATAATATTATGGTTACATACCTGACAACATACTAAGAAAATAAAGAGGGTTATAGCAGTCCATAGTACCTTCTCTCTAAACTGGATCTGTACAACAAAAAGAAACAATGATCAATTCATAGCAAGAAAAACTAAATGTAAAGTAAAAATTCAACTGATCAAGGATGTTCCTAATATTTATTCTTAAAATGTCTACTTCATCCTTGCTGTGACAGCTAAAATAAATAGCTATACTTCTTAAACAAAAGTCTCCACTTTTGAAAAAGATAGTTTAAGTGCAGGCAGTTCCAATGTCAAGAGTAAATGAAAATGAGTAAAATGAAGAGAAGACAAAGTATATACAAGCCCAATATACATGTTTCAGTTAACAATTCTACCACAAAAATCTAGGGCTGTTGGTCTATTAGACAGTGTACAACATTACACAGGCAATCCTAAGACAGTTCATAAACTAAGATACTAGGGTCTTGGGATTAACTGTAACTAGAAAAACTATCCTTGCCATCTCAAATCATTAAAAATGAAAATAGTAAGTTTTACCTATCTGTCTGTATGTTCCTACATCTGTTAATTTCATGACAAATGGATAGTACAGGAATGTTTAGGAACTTGACCAGTTTGAGATCAGTAATTTTTCTTAAGTTAAAATATTCTAGTCCCAAAAGTACATAATGAGGGAAGAATGATTTCATTCAGTTCAATACCTTTATCCTATCATTTATCTGTCCAATGTATGAGTCAATAAATGGGAAGTATCTACTTGAACCACAGCAATTCATTTGTGTAAAAGAGTCAGAACTCTTCAAAACCTACCCAGCAGATGGGGCCACTCCCATCCCAGCAGATCCACCTTATCAGCAGGCATCATTGGAACTACCACAGATGGGAGCCTACTACTTCTTAACTAACACACAGGCTACAGATACACTTAGTATGCCTTCATTTTTGAAGGCATGACAAACCTATCAAGACTTAAGCAGGGCTATACTAGTTACAATCACTTCATTCTCTTACAAGAAGCAAGTAGGTGATTATTTTTATCCAGAAAAGGTTTTGGGAAATTAAATCTATCTTGCTGGTTTGACAAGGAAATCATCTAGATATTCTCAATATTACTAAAATAGTATACTTACTTTCCTTTCAGGTTTCTGAATTTCTGGTAGAACCGCACAGAAAGGTTTTATAACTTCTAAAAATTTGACTGTAAAAAAGAAAGTAAACAAGTGTCCCTATTATAAATGTATATCTTTTTACAGAATCAAATACAAATTTTAACTTTGAACAGCAATTTTTCCCATTCTCTTAGATTAAATATCATGATGCCTTTTATTTCAAAGGAATACATAAAGAATCAGAAATCAACAGACAGAAGAACTCAAATGGTTTGAGGGCTAACCAGTAGAATCAAGAGTACTTTTACCCAGGCTCGGAAGGTAGCTCAGTGGTAGAGTGCTTGCTTTGCATGCATGAGACCCTGGGTTCCATTCCTCAGCACCATATAAGCAGAAAAGGCCAGAAGTGGCACTATGGCCCAAGTAGTAGAGGGCTAGCCTTGAGCTGAAGAGCTGAGGGACAGCACCCAGGCCCAGAGTTCAGGCCCCATGACCAACAAAAAAAAAAGTACGAGGGCTGGGAAGATAGCTCAGTGGTAGAGTGCTTGCTTGCATGCATGAGGCGTTGGATTCGATTCCTCAGCACCACATAAGAAGAAAAAGCTGAAAGTGGTTCTGTGGCTCAAGTGGTAGAGCACTTGAGCTGAAGAGCTGAAGGACAGTACCCAGGCCGAGTTTAGGCCCCACAACCGGCCAAAAAAAAAAAGTACCTTTACCCTAATTTTGCTTCCTCATGCTTATATTCAATCCTCATATATACATTAAAGCAATGTTTAAGAGCACCACAATGTCCAAAAAGAGAAAATACAGTTCACGAGGTCCTAGGAGGGCAGGGCATTATGGAAGAAAACTGAGAGATGGACTAGAGCAGGAGAGGAAGACAAAAAACTGATTTAGCCCAAGAAATGACTGGAGTCACCTGCTATAGTTAACTTTGTAACGACTACAAATCTCTACTTCATTTCACTTACAACTTGGCCATCCTCCTACATAATATCAAAATACTTATTTATATACAAGATCAGCCAAGAGAGTGACAATTACGTTTAATGAGACAGTACTGCCTAGGCTACTGTTACAGCATATAAAAGTAAAATAAAGCAAGGTTGTTTCAGGGTAGATACTATCTCCTGGCTTAAGTCCTGCTAAAGTACTAGAGGACAAAGATGATCATCTTTTAAGCTCCAGTCCTTCTGCCAGAGTGTAATGTACAGCAACACAAGCCATAGCTGCTATTAATTAGCATCTTCTTCACCACAGACACTAATACCCTGAAACTGCTTTAACTCCGATATGAGTAACTACACCTGCGGTTAGCCAAAAGCTGGCCACACTACCCTTCTTTTCTCCCCCTCCCTCCTAGTACTGAGGATGGACAGACAGACCTCTGAGTCTGGTGGATGCTGGGCAAGCACTGAGCTATTACACCACCGCCACCCCCAGCCCTATACCACTTAAAAAAAAAAAAAAAACTCACAAGGATGGCTGGCGGAGATGTCTGCCGTTTGGACTATTTGCAAAGTAAATCTGAATTATGAAAGTGCATTCTTCATCTCTAGTGCATAACAATGATCCAATCGACATCAGGAAACTTCCTAGAATCTCTTCACCGTTTTTTTTTTTTATCGTCACACCTGAGTCTAGGCCACTCTTGGAGACTTCTTGGACATTTTATAATTTGTATTGGGGTATTCGCGTTCAAGCAACGCTTTTATCTGTTATTTGTCTATCCTTGTGTTGCAGAAATCGACCGTTATGGGTAAATCCAAAGCCAAGGATCTCTTCTACCTCCTTCTAAGCTACCCCAATGTCCACTAGTTGGCCAACTGGTGCAAGGCTTGTGCATGCAGTTATCCATTCATCCTACAGCTCGTCAAGATCTATGTAATATACCTGGGGGATGAATTTTTGCAAAGGGCCTTTCTAGGGTCCCCACAATACAGGCCTCGTCCCTAAGGCTTACACAACCCTGCACGGATTTCAGTAAACGCTATAGGACTGCAGGATGAACGTTTTTCCAGGAGAAGGCTGAGACACCTCACTCCCTCGTCTCCTTCTGCGTGGAACATGCCACGCATCCCTGACAAAATTAAACGAGCGCCCGGGGCGTCTTCGGCTCACCACACGCCAAGGAAGGGTGATTCGGGAATTTAACTCGTAGGAGCTTCGGAAGCTCCAGAAACGTGACAAATGGTCTAGGCTTAGGCCGGCGCCCTCTCTGTCTGCCCACCCCCACCCCCCGCCCCGGCACAGCGAGGGGTCTCCCTCGCCACCCACGGGGCGCAAACCCCGGGCCTGGGTCCGGCTCCCGCGGCCTGGACGCGGCCTCGCACGGCTGGAGGAGCCGAGGGCCGAGGCCGCCCTCCGCAGCATCCCGGCCCGCAGGCGGGTCGACCCCGAGAGGGCGCCGGGCCCGACGCCCACGTCTCCCGCAGAGCCCCGCTCCAGCCGCCGCTACTCACTGCCCATGGCGGCGGCTGGGGAAGCCCGGCAGGGCACCGCGGCCTCGGCGCAGCCTTCGCTCGGTTCACGCGGCTCTGGCTTCGGCGCCGGCTACGGACCTGTGGTCTGGCCGGCCCCGCGGAGGCTCCGCCCCGGGTCACGTGACGCCAACTCGCTGCGCACAGCCCCGCCCCCAGGCTCTGGCCGTTGGCCGACGTCCGCTGCGTTGCCATGGTTACCGCCGGCGCTGCAGCAACGCGGGCCAGGCGCCCGGAGGCGGGGCTTGAGCCCGCCTGTGTGGGCGTGTCCTGGAGGGGAGGCGGGGCTCAGGCCGGCCGGGGACCTGGCGGCGCAGGGTTTTTATTTAAGAGCGGGGTGCCAGGCTGGACAGACACCAACTGGTCCCTAAAGCCTGGGGCTGAGCCTCGCAGCCGAACCAACTTTTCATATTGTATCTGCTTGGAGATCTGCAAAAAGTCGTGTCACGTCGTGTCTGGTTGGTAGTTTATGAAACTCCTCCCCGGTGCACTGCTGTCCATCTTCTCTAACTCGGATGGATGGTAGGGTTCCTGGAGCGACAGCTTTCAGACTGTGTGTGGTTCGGGTCGCCATCTACAATGAGTCTGTTCGTGCATTCTAGGACATTATGGTGTAAGAGAAAGCGCAGTCGTGGACCTCGGCCAGCCCTGAATCTTACGTTGGGCAATCATCTATCTGAGCTATCCAGGCAAAATAAGACTCGTTCATAAGGGTGTGGAAGTGGAAAGTAAAGAAGCAGAAAAATGAAGGAAGGGTAACAAGTTAGACAAGAAATGTACTCACTACCTTACTTATGTAACTGTAACCTCTCTGTACATCACCTTGACAATAAAATTAAAATTGAAAAAATGAAAAAAAAATCAGATACACTCACACACACACACACACACACACACACACACACACACACAGCAGCAGCAGCAGCAGCAGCAGCAGCAGCAGCAGTTTTCCTTAACACACACTGTAAACCACTCCTGCAAACTTCTGTTCTATGCTTTCCTAGCAATTGGGAGGCCCTGACTTTGACCTTAAGTATCACTCTCCCCCTAAAAAATAAAATCTTAACTCTGATTAAACAAGCTATCTCAAAAGCAAGTAAAGCTATAATCACTAGATCCAAGGATGTTTTCTCTTGTTCAGATCAATATACAATATCCAGGAGATTATCTGGGGGAAAGGTGCGATTTTGGGTCTTTGCCTACCTCTGGCAGCTTGGGCAGCTCTCTGGGGAACTGCATTATCCAAAGGCTCTGTCTCACAAATCTGACATTAGATGCTGGCTATGAGCATAAACACCTTCACGTGACTTCATGTGACCTGAGCTGCTTCACAAGGTGGTAGCTGGGTACCAAGGGACGTCCTTAGAAGTGACCCAGATAAATGAATAATCTTTTACCATATCATATTATAGAGACAGACAGGAGGGTCTGTTCAACTTCAAGGAAAGATGATAATGACACCCTCTCTAGGGAAGGATGTGCAAAGGTTCTGGGACAACCTGTGGGACTCAAAATATTGCTGTGATTATTTTTGTTTGTTTGTTTGTTTGCTTTTTTTGGGGGGGGGTCCAGTCGTGGGGCTTGAACTCTGGGCCTGGGTGCTGTCCCTCAGCTCTTCAGCTCAAGGCTAGCACTCTACCACTTGAGCCACAGCGCCACTTCCAGCTTTTTTCTTTTTGCTTATGTGGTGCTGAGGAATCCAACCCAGGGCCTCAGGCATGCAAGGCAAGCGCTCTACCACTGAGTCACCTTCCCAGCCCATGCTGTGATTATTTTTGCAAAATACAGTCTCCTATCATGTGAACTCATTCTTACCTCTATTTTGTATTAGTCATTTTCATATTTAACTAATTTCTCTGCTAGAGAGTAAACTTTTTTTTTTACAGCCACATGAGCAAGATAATGAGTACACTTCCCACTGAGCATTGTTACCCCCTCCATTGTTTTCCCCCTACCATCCCTTCCCTCCCTACCTTCCCCAGGTTCTTTTTTTTTTTAATTGTGATTAAGTGATTACATAATTTCCCAAATTTCACAGTATTGTGGAATAATGATGCTCATTTAAAGGCACAGTTCATTCTAACTTTCCTGGGCACAGTAAACTTTTGGCAGAGGAATCAAACTTTTACTTTTTTTTTTTTTTGCCAGTCCTGGGGCTTGAACTCTGGGCCTGGGCACTGTCCCTGAACCTCTTTGTGCTCAAGGCTAATGCTCCACCACTTGAGCCACAGCGCCACTTCCGGCTTTTTCTGTGTATGTGGTGCTGAGGAATTGAACCCAGGGCCTCATACATGCTAGATACATGCTAGGCAAGCACTGTCCCACTAAGCCACATTCCCAGCCTCAGAGAAATCAAACTTTTGTTCAATTTACAACATCTTAAAATGATTGGCCTAAACTCAATTATGAAACAAAATTACCAGACAATTACATGAACACAATATCCTTTCAATAAAGATACACCAAATTAAGCCAGGCACCAGTAGCTCCTGCCTGTAATCCTAGCTGAGATCTGAGGATCACAGTTCAAAGCCAGCCCGGGCAGGAAAGGCATGAGACTCTTACCTCCAATTAACCACCAGAAAACTGTGGCACTGTGGCTCAAAGTGGTATAGCACTAGCCTTGAACTGAAGAGCTCAGAGACAGTACCCAGACCCTAAATTCAAGCCCCATGACTGACAATAAAGATACACTAAACTAAAATATGATCTATAGAAGCAGAACAGTAACCTATATTTTAATTGCCTGTCTCTTGGATGGTTCCTTATTCCTAGAAAGAGCCTGGAATAAGCTGATATTCTGGATAGCTTTTGTGAAAAACTTTTCTATCATTCCTGAGTCTTACTATGACTACATGCTACCCAGAACTTTTCCTTAAGTAATTGCAAAATGCCACCTGAGCTACATCTACCAGAATTCTTACTCTTCCTTGACCTTTCAAATTGTTTTAGCATAGGAACAAGAAAGTATCTGAGCCAGGCGCCAGTGGCTCACACTTGTAATCCGAGCTACTCAGGAGGCTGAGATCTGAGGATCATGGCTCAAAGCCAACCCCAGGCAGGAAAGTCCATGAGACTCTTATCTCCAATAAGCCACTAGAAAACCGGAAGTGGCTCTGTGGCTCAAGCGGTAGAGCACTCACCTTGAGCTCTTAGAGTTCAAGCCCCCATGACTGACCAAAAAAAAAAAAAATCTGTCTCTAAGCATAAAATTTTTTTTTTTCAAATAGATTGTTAGTTCATGGAGGGCAGAGGGCCAACTATTTTATTTGTCTTTTTGTTGTTGCTTTATTTTTCAAACAGGGCTAAGTATTCTGGATCATAATCTTCGTATTTATCCTTCCTGAATGGCTGAGATAGCAGATGTGGGCCAGCACACCAAACTGTTATTGGTTGAGAAGCAATCACTCAAACATTTTGCTTAGACTGGCCTTGAACTGCAATCTCTGCCTCCTGAGAGTCCTGCTCCTTTCTATGTGCTTCTAAAATCAAAAGCAATGGTATATATTGAAAAGGTACTCAATATAATATTCTTGTGAAATATTCATCTCATTTCTTATTTTTGTTTAATCATAGCTTGTTCTCAGTATGAGTAAGACAGAGAGCAATACTAACATAATACAAGTTTAATAAATGTTTCCTAAATTAACTGATTTTGCAATTAGTAGTGGGAAAATAAGTCTGCTTTAGATTGTAATTGTCAGATTGAAATGAAACAAATGACTCATCCCACACCAGTCATAATGATACTCATCAAGAAAACAATAGGGATGGGGAAAAAAGAACACAGTTTCATCTAATGTACAATATGTGCATGGGTGAAATATCTCACTAAAACTTCTTTATATAACTAAGGTGCACTAATAGAAAATACACAACAACAAATGGTGGTAAAGATGGTGGAGAGGGACCCTTATACATTGTTGGTGGGAATGTAAATTAGTACAGCCACATGGAAATTCATATACACCACTCTTGTGTAAACATCCAAAGAAATCTAAGTCAGCATACAATGTAGATACCTGCAAATCTGTGTTTAAAGCAACACTATTCATAATAAGTATGTTATAGAATCAGTTTAGGTGCCCATCAGTAGATAAATGGATAGAGAAAATGTAGTATACACAATGGATTATAAAAGCCATAAAAATGAAATTATGTCATCTGCAGGAAAATAGACGGAATTAAGAGATCATTATGTTAAGTGAAATAAGGGACTCAGAAAGACAAATACCATATAGATAGATAGACAGATAGATAGATAGATAGATAGATAGATAGATAGATAGATAGATAGATAGATAGATAGATAGATAGATAGATAGATTGTCAGTCATGGGGCTTGAACTCAGGGCCTTGGCATTGTCCCTCAGCTCTTTAGCTCAAGGCTAGTGTTCTACCACTTTGAGCCACAGAACACTCCCAATTTTCTGGTAGTTAACAGGAGATAATAGTCTCACAGACTCTCCTGCCCAGGATGGCTTTGAACCACGATCCTCAGATTTCAGCCTCCTAAATAGCTAGGATTACAGGTATGAGCCACTGGCACATGGCCCAAACTAGTTCTTACAAGGCAGAAAAATTAGTTTTACTCAGAACAATGTGTCATTTTAAGTAGTATTAAAACAGTCCAATAGTTGCTAAGTACTCACTACAAAATTTAAGCTCTACATTTTTCAGACAGACTCTGTAGCCCAGACTAGCCTTGAACTTGTGGTCCTTCTGCCTCAGTCTCCTGAGAGCCCAGCACACCACGATGCCCTGCTTAAGCTTTATTCTTCACTGAACATTAAGCCAGCGTAGAAATGCCTGACATAAACAGAATACAAATGCCACATTATGACATCTCTAGGATGAACAAAAGCAATGTGTATTTAATTTGGAATTCTTCAATAGCCCCTTTCTGCAAAGTAATTAAAAATATAAGTGGTAATAAGAGGATTAACATATTCCTCATGGCTCACACTGGATATGATGTATCAAATCATAACAAATGCTGGGTGTCGGTGGCTCACACCTGTAATCCTAGCTACTTAGGAGGCTGAGATCTGAGGATCCAGGTTCAAAGTCAGCCTGGGCTACGTGAGACTCTTATCTCCAATAAACCACTCAGAAAACCAGAAGTGGCACTGTGGCTCAAATGGTAGAGCGCTGGCCTTGAGCTGAAGAGTTGAGGGACAATGCCCAGGCCCACAGTTCAAGCTCTAAAACCTAGAAAGAGAAAGAAAAAGGAAGGAAGGAAGGAAGGAAGAAGGAAGGGAGGGAGGAAAGGAGGGAGGGAGGGAGGGAGGGAGGACGCTGGGCACTGGTGGCTCACGCCTGTCATCCTAACTACTCAGGAGGCAGTCCATGAGACTCTTTTTTTTTTTTTTTTTTTGGGGGGGGGGGTGTCAGGTCATGGGGCCTGAACTCTGGGCCTGGGCACTGTCCCTCAGCTCTTCAGCTCAAGGCTAGTGCTCTACCACTTGAGCCACAGTGCCACTTCCAGCTTTTTTCTTTTTGCTTATGTGGTGCTGAGGAATCGAACCCAGGGCCTCAGGCATGCAAGGCAAGCACTCTACCACTAAGCCACCTTCCCAGCCCTCCATGAGACTCTTATCTCCAATTAACCACAAGAAAACCGTAAGTGGTGCTGTGGCTCAAAGTAGTAGAGCACTAGCTTTGAGTGGAAGAGCTCAGAGACAGCACCCAGCCCCTGAGTTCAAGCACCACAATTGACCAAAGAAAAAAATCATAACCACACTTGTAAGGTGCAAATAACAACAGGGAGAAATTTAGAGATATTTAAACTACTTAAAAAACTTCCAACTCACCTTTTAAAATCTTTTAATTTGAGAAAGCAAGAGAATGGAGAGAAAAATAAATGACATTATGCTTTTATTTTCTCTTACATTAAATTTATAACATTGATAATCATTCTAATTAAGAAGGCATTTGTAATTTTACTGACCTATTCAAGTAGTGGTAAGTCACTTGATTTAAAAGGTTTTCTGCAAGAAGGAAGCATTGAGATCTACAGAAAGAAAAGGAGGTAGACAGTGCAGAAATGTTTATTCCATTCATTGAAATGCACATTTAAGATGTGAATTATGAGTCCACTCATGTGGGCAAAGCAACCTGCACAACACAGCCAACTGTTGATTACAGTGGAGAGGGACTAGGTGTATACAAGTTCCCAGAAGTCTCTATGACCCCTAAGAATAAGTGTCCTGATGGTAGATGGGGTTCCACAGTACCGAGTGCAGTGAATCTACACTGTTTATTCTTTTTTGGGGGGTGGGAGGGCTTGGTCCTGGAACTTGACCTCAGGGTCTGAGCACTGTCCCTGAGCCTCTTTGTGCTCAAGAATAGAACTCTACCACTTGAGCCACAGCACCACTGCCAGCTTTTTTTCTGAGTAGTTTACTAGAGGAGTCTTACAGCCTTTCCTGCCCCAGCTGGCTCTGAACTGTGGCCCTCAAATCTCAGCCTCCTGAGTAGCTAGAGTTATAGGCATAAGCCTCTGGCACCCAGCTCAATTTATTTTTAGTTATGCTTCCAGAACTAGATCTAATTTCTTCTTTTTTGCAGTACTGGGGATTGAATCCAGGGTCATAAGCATGCTAGGCAAACACTATACCAGCCATACCAGGCCTTAGGTTTGACTTCAGATGAAGCAAGTCAGTTGGTGATCTCTAAGAAATCCCCAAACACTTGACATTAGAAAGGCACCTTGGTCAAAGTTAAAATACTCTTTAAATACCATAAATAAATATAATATTGCAATTGAGACTCTAAAAGGCAAACTGATTACGAGCTTAAATATATCATATACCAAATCTGTTATTAACTTTTAAAACATCACTGCACAACAATTATGGTGGTTGCAGGAAGATTATGGGAAAATATACCACAGATCAATTTTAGAATAACTAAAGCTCTTCAATTAAAAATTGAGTGTTAGGCTGGGAAGGTGGGCTCAGTGGTAGAGCGCTTGCTTTGCATGCCTGAGGCCCTGGGTTCGATTCCTCAGCACCACATAAGCAAAAAGAAAAAAAGCCGGAAGTGGCATTGTGGCTCAGGTGGTAGAGTGCTCACCTTGAGCTGAAGAGCTGAGGGACAGCACCCAAGCCCAGAGTTCAAGGCCCACGACCAACAAAAAAAAAAAAAAAAAAGAAGAAGAATGGGTAAACCTTGAAGAACATAAATCAGGAATGCTCTAGTTTTGTGTGTGTGTGCTGTGTGCTGGTACTGAGACTTGAACTCAGGGCCTTATACTTGCTTGTGGTTGATCTACCACTTGAGTCATGCCTCCAGCCTAGAACTTTGCTGGTTAATTGAAGATGGAATCTCATGGGCTTTTCTATCCAGGCTGACCTCAAATCACATTCTTCCAGGTCTCAGTGCCCTCAGTAGCTAGGATTATAGCCAGAAGCCAACAGTGAGCAGTTGGAATGATCTAATTTTGCTGGCATTTTGGCAGAATATTTTGTATATGGCTGTGAGGTAACAAAAAACAAAAATACTGATACAGGACTTTGGGAAAGGAAGATAAAAATTAAAGTGGCACGCATCAAGCAAATCAAGAGGCAGTTTTGAAGCTATCTATATGTATATATTATATATAATATATCTACAATATATTATATAATATATATACATATAGATATCCTTGGTCATATATAACTAATTACAATAGAGTCTGAACACATAAAGCTAATGACCTAATTCTCCAACTCATTCAGTTGAGTTGGAGAAATCACAACCCTCCCATACTGCTAAGGATAAAATGTCCTAATTTGACTCATGTATTTATAATCAATTTCCCTGTTTATCACACCTGTGCCAGATTTAACTGTGTGAATGGGTCCCGACACTTTGGAGGAACACAAGCTTTTCACATTACAAGGGGAAAGTGGAAAAAGTAGAGAAAGCAGGTTTCTCTTTCTATGGCAGTCTGCTTAAAAGGAAGTCATGTTTCTTCAAAGGACAATATCAAGCAAAGGTCTTGGTGAGGACATCTTCATGCTGCTGCAGGTGCACAGTGCCAATCCCCACCGCGGGTGCTGGCAGTGGGGGCCGGCTCACAAGGCGGAGCTGTCATTGGAGCAAAGAAGAAATGAATTAACATTGTGACTGTATCAGGGGTGCATTAAATTTCTCTTAGCTTTTATACATCACATCTAATGAGTTACAAAAAATAGATGAGAGGGGAATATTTGTCACTGCTAACAATTAACTAAATTCCAAGCATTAGAAGGTAAAGCCAGTATTTTAATTTGTCTTATATTATTGGTCTTAGCTGTAGTTTCCTTAATTAGGACTACTTACCCATGAAAACAATTCAAACTTAGCAAACTACTATCAAATGAGTAAACTGTGTTCCTAAGTGTTGCTTAGTCAATAAAGTCTAGATAAATTTATTCCCAAATTTGAAAAAGTCAGATATCTGAATTGTTTTATACTTTTGGGTATGGGATACTCAACTTGAGTATACAAAGCGGCATAAATACTCAGCATTTTCTTTGGAAGGAATAATCTAAAGCTAGATTTTTATCTTTTCTTGTCTATTTATTTATTTAGCTTTCTTCACTTTGTAGCCCAGGCTGAGCTTGAATTCTCACTCATTCTGCCTCAGCCTCTCAAAGGCAAGGGATGCAGGTGCACAGACCCGGTTGGCCTTTTTTTTTTTTTTTTAATGATAACAGGTTGAACTCAGGGTTTACTAGACAGGTATTCTTACTACTTGAATCAAGACCCCAGTCTTCTCTATTTCTTTCTTTCCTTCCTTTCTTCCTCCCTTCATTTCTTCCTTTGCATACAATCCATTTTCCCAGGCTAGTCTCAAACTTGGGAGACTCAAGTGATATTTCTGCTTCAGCCTCCTAAGTACCTGAGACTCTAGGCATGTACCACAACACTCTGCTTAAAACTAGGTTGTTCTATTTTCATTTATCTTTTTAAAAAAAATTAGAGCAGAATCCCATTTGCTCTAATTCTATGAGAAAGACCACACACATGTGCACATACACGTACACACACAAATGAACACAACATGAGACAAAAAGCTATCACCTTGCAGGCCAGTTGCTTTTCAAACCTTGGGGAAACAAAACTCCATGGGCCCATGTTCTGAGGTTCCTCTTGACTCCAAATAAAATCTATAAAAAGGAAATTTACTTCAGTACCACAAGGAAATGTGCAAATCAAAGGAGTGGGAGACAGACATAGATATTCACCTCAATTAAATATATGGTTATCCAATGTAACAGTGTTTGCTTGTTTTGTTGACAAATACGTAGCCCTGCATCCACCACCACATCATGATACCAAGTGTTCTTTGAGCCCTTGAAGTTCCTCCCACTCTTGAACATTGCCAACTATAGAGCTGTTCTCTATGCTCACAGTTTTGCCTTTTCCAGAATACCATATAAATGCAATCATAAACAACATAGTGTTTTGGATCTGGCTTCCTTGAATAAGCAAATGATATTTGTGTGACCCCTCTGTGTTTTGAGGGGCACACCATAGTTTACTCCTGGGGCTGAAGGTGTGTAACTCAGTACACAGTGTTTCCCTAACATGTGCAAGGTTTTGGGATCTATCCCCAAGTGGTTCACTCTTTTTTATAAAAATTGTTTTATAGAATGCTATTGTACAAATGTTTCTTGCTACTGGTGAACTGTGTTTATTCATTCACCCCTTAAACAACATTTTGGTTGTTTTCAGCTTGGGCAATTACAAATAAAGCTGCTATAAACATTTGCACAGATTTTTCTGTGAACGTGAATTCATGTCTTTTGGGTAAATACCTAGTAGTGGGGTCACATGGTAAGTAGATGTTTAATGTGGCGGGAAGCTGCCTTCTGGAGGAGCTATAGCAAGCAGCTTGCATTCCCACAGTGAGTGAGGCTCTGGATGTTTTGTGCTTGATATCATCAGTTTGGCACTTCCTTCTGTTTTCATTTTAGACATTCTGATAGGTGTGTGGCCCTATCTCATGAGCTTAATTTTTTATTTCCCTATCACTAGCAACATGGAGCATTTCTCTACTTATCTATGCTCCAGTTCATTGGAAAAGTGCTGTTGCTGCAAACGTTTTTCATATTTTAAAAAGCTGGACTAAGCCGGGCGCTGGTGGCTCACGCCTGTAATCCTAGCTACTCAGGAGGCTGAGATCTGAGGATCGCAGTTCAAAGCCAGCCCGGGCAGGAGAGACCGTGAGACTCCTATCTCCAATAAACCACCAGAAAACCGGAAGTGGCGCTGTAGCTCAAGTGGTAGAGCGCTCGCCTTGAGCTGAAGAGCTGAGGGACAGCACCCAGGCCCAGAGTTCAAGCCCCACGACCGACAAAAAAAAAAAAAAAAAAGCTGGACTACTTCTCTCTTACTATAGAGTTTCAAGAGGTTTTAACATTCGATAGTCCTATCAGATACATATTTGCAAGTATTTTCTCCCCAGCTTGTAGCCTGCCTTCTAACTTTTATTTATTTTACACAATGCAAAATTCTTTGAGTAGTTGCAATTTTCCTTTTATTTTTTATTTTCTTATTTTTTAGTTGGTCGTGGGGCCTGAACTCTGGGCCTGGGCACTGTCCCTCAGCTCTTCTGATCAGGCTAATGCTCTACCTCATGAGCCATAGCAAAACTTCCGGCCTTTTCTGTTTATGTGGTGCTGAGGAATCGAACCCAGGGCCCCATGCATGCAAGGCAAGCACTCTACCACTGAGCCACCTTCCCAGCCCCGTGCAATTTTCCTTTTATACAGTATATCTTGAGAGTCATAATTAAGAACTTTTCATCTAACCAAAAACACAATGATTTTTATTCCTACTTTCTTCCAACAGTTTTATCATTTTATGTTTAGGAATATAATCAATTGAGTTAGTTTCTATATACGGTATAAACAGACATCCAACATGCCAGGCACAATTGTTGGAAAGTTTTGTCTTTTACAATTCTACTGTATTTCTCACATAACAGTATATCAATGATAACCCCCAAACTCTCAAGATATTAGTTGTTTTCTATGCAGAAAGGAAGTCTGAAAAGGATACCAGGAGAAACAGGGAGACACTGACGTTTGTGGTACTTTGCTTCCATATGCTCAGATTCCATGAATTTGGTTTTCTAATCACTTTCACTGATCCCCACACCGCTCCTTCCATCTAAAATAGTTTGAATTGGTTTCAGGTATTTGAAAAGTCCCCTAACACAAAAACCTTTTTTGGGGAGGGCTTAAACTCGGGGCTTGGGCACTGTTCCTAAGCTACTTCTGTTCAAGGCTAGTGCACTACCATTTGAGCCAGAGCTCCACATCCTGCTTTTTGAGTGCTTAACCAGAGATAAGAGTCTCTGAGCTGGGAATAAGGCTTAGTGGTAGAGTACTTGCCTAGCATGTATGAAGCCCTGGGTTTGATTCCCCAGTACCACATAAATAGAAAAGGCCAGAAGTGGCACTGTGGCACAAGTAGTAGAGTGCTAGCCTTAAGAAAAAGAAGATCAGGGACAGTGACCAGGCCCTGAGTTTGCCCCAGAACTGGGGGAAAAAAAGTCTCACAAACTTCCTGACCAGGCTAGCTTTTGACCATGATCCTCAGAGCTCAAGCCGCCTGAGTAGCAGGGATTATGGGTATGAGCCACTGGCACAGACAAGAAAACCTTTTTACCTTTCACATGTTTGTATTTATTCATCTCTTGCCATAATGAGTCCAGAGGGAAAGGGCAGAGTTCCTCTATTCGGATGATGGCAAAGTCATGCTTCTTAGCCCCTAAAGATTCTCGATGCTTCAGCAGAGCATAGAAATGTTTGCCACAACAGAACACAAGGGTCTTAACCCTGTTGGGGAGAGAAAGGGTAACAGAGTGAGGGAGAAGTATCCTTAAGAATCATAGAGAACAAAGTCTGTTCAATGCCTTACTGAAGCTGGGGGTGGGAGGGTGGGGAAAGGGGATTCTATTACTGGATTCAGTCATCTGACAATCCACGCTTAGCAATGAATGTTTGCCTCCAAAGTTCACTCTTCCCTGCAAACTCTAACTGCCCCTGCACTGACAATGCTATATATCAGGATGGGAGCTGGGAATGCGGATCAGTAATAGAGCATTTGACTAGCAATAGTGAAGCCCTGGACTCAATCTTCAGTAACACCACCACCACCATCAAAACACACACACACACACACACACACACACACACACACACACACACACACACACACAAATTCATATCAGGATTATAGGTGTTTGGGGCACTTAACATGAAATTTCCCAGTAATTTAAACTTCTACCTCAGAGTATGAAAACAGAGAAACACATCAGATTACTTATTTGGATCCACAGATGAATCACCGATGACTGGTTTGAATGTTGTTCCTGGTGCCATTTCTTGAAGAGTGGACACAGCTGCCTGAGAAAGAGCAAAAGCTACATGTGTATCAAGCAAAGGAAAAGAGCAGCATCTTTAATTTACAAGGAATTTTATAAAAACAGGACAAAAATTCTAGCTTAGCTGGGAGCCTGTAATTACTCCCTGTAATCCTAGGTACTCAGGAGGCTGAGATCTGAGGATTGGGGGTTCAAGAGCTAGCCCAGGCAGGAAAGTCTATGAGACTCTTACCTCTAATAAAGCACCAGAAAAATGGAGTGGCACTGTGGCTCGAGTGGTAGAGCACTCTCCTTCACCTAAAGAGCTTAGGGACAGCACTTAGGCTCAGAGTTCAAGCACCATGAATGACCAAAACAAATGTTTTTTCTAGTTTATTACTTTAATTATGCACACATACCAGTAAACACTGAATTTTTCCCCAGAAATGCTAGTTCTACTTAGAAACAATATGGGTGCCTTTTCTCTATGCCACATGAGAGAGGTGCCACAACAAAATTTTAAGAATAAACTTTCAGTCTGATGACACAAATTTTTTTTTTTGGGGGGGGGTTCAGTCATGGGGCCTGAACTCTGGGCCTGGGCGCTGTCCCTCAGCTCTTCAGCTCAAGGCTAGAGCTCTACCACTTGAGTCACAGCACCACTTCCGGGTTTTTCCTTTTTGCTTATGTGGTGCTGAGGAATCAAACCCAGGGCCTCATGCATGCAAGGCAAGCGCTCTACCACTGAGCTACCTTCCCAGCCCCAGATGATGACACAACTTTATTATCAATAAAAATATACGTTAAGGGCTGGGAAGGTGGCTCAGTGGTAGAGTGCTTGCCTCGCATGCCTGAGGCCCTGGGTTCAATTCCTCAACACGACATAAACAGAAAAAATCCGGAAGTGGTGATATGGCTCAAGTGGTAGGGTGCTAGCCTTGAGCTAAAGAGCTGAGGGAAAACACCCAGGCCCAGAGTTCAGCCTCCACCACCAACAAAAAAAAAAATACACGTTAAGTTTTGGGGATTGAAACTATCTTGTAGAATTTATATTTTGGGAGCTGGAGGTGTAGCTGAAGTGGTAGAGCACCAATCATGAGCGGAAAAAGCCAATAGAGAGTGTGAGGCCGTGAGTTCAAGCCCCATTGCCAGCAAAAGAAAAAAAGAAAAAAAAAGGACTAAGGAGGGAAGAAAGGGATGGAAGGAGGGAGGGACAGAGAGAAAAAGAGAAAGAGCAAGGAAGGTAGGAAGGAAGAAGTTCTTTTTTTGTTTTTTGGATCCAATCATGGGGCCTGAACTCTGGGCCTAGGCACTGTCCCTCAGCTCTTTAGCTCAAGGCTAGCACTCTACCACTTGAGCCACAGTGCCACCTCCGGATTTTTTCTGCTTATGTAGTGCTGAGGAATCGAACCCAGGGCCTCGAGCATGCAAGGCAAGCGCTCTACCACTGAGCCACCTTCCCAGCCCCAGAAGGAGTTCTTATACCATTTGGATTTTAATTTTTTCTAAAGTTTTATTTGCCCAGATTAGGATATCAGTGTAATATTTACTATTCATGTCCTTCATTACAGTGGAAATGTTTTAAAATAATGAGAGGACAAATCAACTCAAGCTATAAAGATTTTTCTATTTAATTTAGAAATATTATTAGAGTTAGAAAATATAAAAATGGAATAAGAAAATGACAAGCCAGCTTTTGCCACTTACAGGGAACCTGAGCAACAACTTGGGAGAAGCAACAATGAGTGGTTTCCTGAAGTTCCGGACCATCTGTCTCCTGAGCAGGTGGAAATACTGCACGGGAGTGGTCGGGTGTACCACAAACATGTTCACCATGTCTCCGTCCACCCCCTCTTCTGTACTGTCACACATCTGGGAGGAAAATAGAATGTTCAGATCATCCATTGCAATCAAGAACGCAATATGCTAGCCAAAGGGAAAGCCAGGTGTTCTCAGGTATAAGCACTCAAAGGTATGGCTCTCCATTTCAGAGAAATAGGAGAAGTAAGTCTGTGACCTGTAAAATATTAACCAAAGGAGAGTACTAATGATCTTCTCCATTTGGCCCAATTCTGTGTTATCTAACACAGCTGTTCCCAAACACAGCTGATGGAAAAAGTCAACACACACACTCACTCTCTATATATATACTACACATATATACACAATATATATACATGACATATGTATATATACACTATATATATACATACACGTGTGTGTGTGTGTATATATATAGATAGATGGGGGGGGGGGGGAGAAAGAGAGAGAGAGAGAGCGATCCTAGGGCTTGAACTCAGGGTCTGGTGCTATCCTTAAGCTTTTTCACTCAAGGTTAGTGCTCTACCACTTTGAGCCACAGTGCCACTTCTAGTTTTCTGGTGGTAAATTGGAGATAAGAGTCTCATGGACTTTTCTACCCTGGCTGACTTTGAACCATGATCTTCAGATTTCAGCCTCCTGAGTAGCTAGGATTCTAGGTGGTTTCTTTTTAAAATTTTTAAATTGTTATTATAAAGGTGATGTGTAGAGATGTTACAGTTATATGAATCAGGTTAAGAGTACATTTACTTTGGACAATGTCACCCCTTCGCTCACTCTCTCCCAGTTGGGATTTTTTTTTTTTTTGGGGGGCCATGGGGCCTGAACTCTGGGCCTGGGCGCTGTCCCTCAGCTCTTCAGCTCAAGGCTAGTGCTCTACCACTTGAGCCACAGTGCCACTTCCAGCTTTTTCTGCTTATGTGGTGCTGAGGATTCGAACCCAGGCCTCATGCATGCAAGGCAAGCACTCTACCACTGAGCCGCTTTCCAAGTCCCTATTTTTTATTTTTTAACAAGTTGTACAAACAGGTCTCAATTCCACAAGTCAGATTATGATTACAATGCATTATGATCAATGTCACTCTTTCCATTGTTCTCCCTCCTATTTGTCCCCATCTTATCCACACCCTCAAGTTGTGCAGTTAAACATATACATAATGTACATGGACTATAATGACTGCATTTGCTCAGTGAGCAAATTTTTGGTGTGTGCTGGTCCTTGGGCTTGAACTTAGAGTCTGAGCACTGTCCCTGAGTTTCTTTTGCCCAAGGCTAGCACTCTACCACTTTAAGCCACCCCTCTACTTATGGCTTTTTCAGTAGTTCATTGGAGATAAGAATCTATTGCCAAGGGGCTGGGAAGGTGGCTCAGTGGTAGAGCGCTTGCCTTGCATGCTCGAGGCCCTGGGTTCGATTCCTCAGCACCACATAAGCAAAAAGAAAAAAGCCGGAAGTGGCGCTGTGGCTCAAGTGATAGAGTGCTAGCCTTGAGCTGAAGAGCTGAGGGACAGCACCCAGGCCCAGAGTTCAGGCCCCACTACCGGACACCCCTCCCCCCCCAAAAAAAAAAAGAAAGAAAAAAGCAACCATTGGGGCTGGGAAGGTGGCTCAGTGGTAGAGCGCTTGCCTTGCATGCTCGAGGCCCTGGGTTCGATTCCTCAGCACCACATAAGCAAACAGAAAAAAGCCGGAAGTGGCGCTGTGGCTCAAGTGGTAGAGCGCTAGCCTTGAGCTGAAGAGCTGAGGGACAGCGCCCAGGCCCAGAGTTCAGGCCCCACGACCGGACCCCAAAAAAAAAAAAAGAATCTATTGCCAAGTGCCAGTGGCTCAGGCCTGTAATCCTAGCTACTCTGGAGGCTGAGCTCTGAGGACTGTGGTACAAAACCAGTCCAGGCAGGAAAGTCCATGAGACTCTTATCTCCAATTAACCACCAGAAAATCAGTTAAAAGAACAGTTTTAAAAGCAGGTAAGAGGCAATAAAATAATGTAGCAAAAATATACATATGCAATTCAATAATTTTATATAATAGGAGGAGAGCCGGGTGCTGATGGCTCCTGGCTATAATACTAGCTACTCAGGAGGCTGAGAGCTGAGGGTCCAGGTTCAAACGCCAGCCCAGGCAGGAAAGTCCCTGAGACTCTTATCTCCAATAAACCACCAGAAAACCAGAAGTGGCATTGTGGCTCAAGGGGTAGAGCACTAGCCTTGAGTTGAAGAGCTAAGGGACAGCACCTAGGCCCAGAGTTCAAGCCCCACAACTGACAAAAAAAAAAAAAAAGGAGGAGAAAGGAAAGGAACATAGCATGCCAAGGACAGAGTTCTGAAGAAAATACACAGAACTAAACAAAAAAAAAAGGAGCATGATGCTAAGAAAACAAAGTTAGAGACCAAATCTACCAGTATATGCCTAATAAAACAAAAAACATCAAGAATAGGACAGGACTAAAAATACTGTAAATGGCACCAACAGAGAGCTTCACACAATGAAAGCAGATGAAATAAGCGAGCACTTATATAACAGCACACTCCTCTAAGATTTACACTTATTAATCTTTTTTGCAGGACTAAAAATAAAACTAGTGCTATAAACAAAGAGTTGAGATAACCACAGGGAAAGCAGATTCAATGGTGATAATAACCCATATTAATATGCATTTACAATCATAATACTAATAATTTAGTATTCATTTAAGGCAAAAATACAGATTCCTAGGCCTTACCTCCTGAGCATCTTGTCTGGAGTTGTCCTAGTATCTGAATCAGTTTACAAAAAGCTTCCTAAGGGATTCCCAGGGTCATTCTGATATAGAAACCACTGTTTTTGGCCACCTGGGAACACTCATTCCAGAGCCTCATACATGCTGGCTAAGTGTGCTGCCATTGAGCTACATCCTGATCCTGAAAACATTTTAAATTGCCATAAAACTGATATTACGTTGTTGGGTGCTAGTGGCTCATGCCTATAATCCTAACTACTCAGGAGGCTGAGATCTGAGGATCACAGTTCAAAGCCAGCCTTGGCAGGAAAGTCCGTGAGACTCTTATCTCCAATTAACCACCAGAAAACTGGAAGTGGTGCTGTTGCTCAAGTGGTAGAAGGCTAGGCTTGAGCTAAAGTGCTCAGGGACAGCACCCAAGCCCAGAGTTCAAGCCTCAGGACCGACAAAACAAAAACTGATATTATATCTGAGGCATTATGTTTCTAAGAAATATTTTTTTTTTTTGGGGGGGGGGTCCAGTCGTGGGCCTGAACTCGGCCTGGGCGCTGTCCCTCAGTTCTTCAGCTCAAGGCTAACGCTCTACCACTTGAGCCACAGTGCCACTTCTGGCTTTTTTCTTTTTTCTTATGTGGTACTGAGGAATCGAACCCAGGGCCTCAGGCATGCAAGGTAAGAGCTCTACCACTGAGCCAACCTTCCCAGCCCCATTTCTAAGAAATATTGAACTTGCATTTGCTCTATTTCAATACTAAAATATCTTGCAGTTTAAAGTGCATGTGACCCTATCTACTGGAGGTAGTTTGAACTGTCAAAGCACCTAGGAAGCAGGAGAACTGTCTGGAGTCGGGCATTAGGCATTCAACATACCTGCAAGAAGCGCTCTATTCGACAGGATGAGTGGTCAGGCCCTGCCCCATCATAGCCGTGTGGAAGGAGGATGACAATGCCACTCTGCAGGAGCCACTTTGCCTCTCCTGTGAAAGCATGAGATGGGAGTCAAATCTCTAGGAAGTAGAACAAAACAGTCTGACAGACTAGCTATTAAAGCAAATGTTTGCTGGCTGAGCCCCCAGCTAGCATGGGTTCATGGCATGCATTTTTCTAACATACCACACGATACCTGAAGGGAATATTCATTTGAAAACCTATGATGATGCCTACCTTGGGCTTTAGCAAATACATGACAAACTCAGAGGTCAAAGGTCAATGTCCCAACTTAAGATAGCAGGCACCACTGACTGACCACAACTTCAGAAATCAGTAGGAAGACTAGAGGCTTGGCTCAAGTGGTAAAGCACCAGGCAGGAACAAGAAAGCTGAGCAGATCATAAGGCCCTGAGTTTAAGCCCCCAATGCTGGCACATCCAAAAAGAAAAATTTGCTGGACACTAATGGTTCAGACCTATAATGCTAGCTACTCAGGAGGCTGAGAGCTGAAAACCACAGTTCAAAAGCAGCCTGGGCAGACAAATCTGTAAGACTCTTACCTCCAATTAACCAGCAAAAAAGCTAGAAGTGGAAGAGTCACTCAAGTGGTAAAGCACCATCCATTAGCAACACAGCCAAGTAAGAGCATGAGGCCCATGAAGCCCTGAATTCAAGCCCCAAATCTGGGTGCAAGCACATGCACGAACAGTTGGTGGCCATATTTTTCTTTCTTACAACTTACAAGAAAAACACAACTAGATGAAAAACCTGAGGCAAATATTCAAAACTAAATAGTGGGTATCTCCAGAAAACAGGATGGGGAGGTCTAGAGAGAGACTTCTGTTTTTCCTTTGTACATATGCATTTTTACAGTCAGCAGGTGTTGCTTTGAAACTCAGCCTTCAGGACCTGGACTGAGGAGAGCAGATTTTCAGGGTTCCAGTGACTCACTACAGAGTGTCACTCTGGAACCACTGTCTACTGTTTATAAGTGCCACAGTTCCTACTCAATACACCCCAGTAGACACGAAAATCATGCAGGCACACAACTGCTCACCTCACCCAGCCATGTTCCTCAAGGAGACTGGCGGGGGGGGGGGGGGGAAGGGGGGGTCTGTTTAATCACCCAGTGACACACAGTCCCCTGCTTACCAAGAGCTGTGATGCTCTTCCCAGCAGCCCCTTCCACTGTCTGATGGCTTCCATGTGCCTGTCAACTGGGACAACTGCCTAAACTCTAGAGAAGCAATTTGAGAAGTAGCAACGGCCCCTTATCATGCACTTGTCCCCATGAGGCTGGGGCCATGGATCTGTTACACCAGCCACACGCTGACACCAACCTCCAGAGATGAATGTGTCAAAGATGATCTGGGCTCCATTGAAAAAATCGCCAAACTGAGCCTCCCATAGGGGCAGTAACTTTGGACTTTCAATGCTCATCCCATACTCGAACCCCAGGACAGCCTCTTCTGATAGGGGGCTGTTGCTGACCTAATCACAGGGCAGAGAACCAAACAGTGGCATGAGGTGAGTCATGTGGCAGGAGCCTGCAGAGGTACAGCATCACATGCATATGCATCTCTCAAAGGGAGGAGGGCACTGAGGAGAGCTTTGCTATCACTGATTACCACATTCTTAGTGCCTACCCACTGCTCAGTACCAATGATCCACTTGAGAAAAGTTGGGACAGAGAGGTTGCATATGTGTATTGAAGATGATCTTCAGAGATAAATAACACACCTCTCAGACAACCTATATAGCTGAGAATAAAACTGTGTCCCATAAGCTTTTTGAGAAAACAAATGTCATAAACGTAAGTGTAAAAGGGACTTGAGAGTGAGAACCAATGGAAATGAAGAGGGTAAAAGGGATGAGATGGCCACTATGACCAAACTAATTTATATGCATGAATAAAAATAGAACAGAGGAACTCATTAAAATTGTACAAAGTGGGGGATAAGAGAGCATTGGGAATGTGGTTTAGTGATAGAATGCTTGCCTAGCGTGCATGAAGCCCTGGGTTCAATTCCTCAGTACCACATACACAGAAAAAGTCAGAAGTAGCACTGTTGCTTAAGTGGTAGAGTGCTAGCCTTGAGCAAAAGAAGCTCAAGGACAGTGCTCAGGCCCTGAGTTCAAGCCCCAGGACTGGCAGAGAGAGGGGGGGGGGGGGGAGTGTAACTTTTATGACAGCACAGTATGTGCCCATAATGAATGTACAATGATAATACACTAAAATGAATGGAAATCCTGGCATGTTACAACATGGATGATACTTGAAAACATTATGTTAAGTGAAATAAACCAGGGATGGAAGGACAAATACATGATTCCACTTGTTAAGGTACCTAGAACACAGGCCAGGAAGAGCTAGAGTGACTGCCAAGGGTTGGGGAGGGAGCAGTGGGAAAGTGTCTGTGAGTGGGTAGTTTCAGTGTGGAAAGATGAAAAGTTCCTGGATGTGTGTGGGGGAGGGTGGCTGCACAGTGATGTGATGTACTTAATCCCATTGAACTCAACACTTGGAAATACTTTAAATGATGAATTGTTATATTATATTCACTTGGCCATAGTAAAAACAAAATAAAGTTTTGGGTTTTTTAAAAATTGTTATTATAAAGGAGGGGTTACTGTTTCATTAGTTAGGTCATAAATTCTTTTTGGGCAATTTCACCCCTTCCTTTGCTCTCTCCTAGTTAGTTTAGTTCTCCCACATTAGTATAGTTCATTTTTAACATAGTTCTAGCGAGTATCATTCCTGCATTTGTTACCTCTTTGTCTCTCCATTTCTGTGTCCCTCCCTATCCCCTACCAAAGATAAACAAGACAAAAAAAAAAAAAAAGAAACAAAAAACATCAAAAACCAAAACAGATGCCATCTTCACCAACAACAGAACATAAAAACAAAAACAAACCTCTTGTTTCCACTTCCTGGAAATGAAAAAGTTTTAAAAGTCCTAAGACAAAGATAAAAGAGTTATAATAAAAGGCCTACCATATATTAGAATCCATTTTTCTGGCATCCTGTTAGCATGGCAAATCAAAAGAGTCATCATGTTAGGATTAAAAAAGCAGGATGGAAAATGAATCTCTAAGAAAGCTAGAGACACCACAGTAAAATACAACAAGATTGTGAAGTTGGTTTGAGAAACATAGTATTAATGTGTGTTTATTTTCTGGTCTTAATACAGGAAGATACAGGAGATACAGGAAATATGCATCATAGTGTATCATGTTAGCAACCTGTTCTCAGATGGTTCAGAATGAGTAAGGTTTCTATTACACACCTAACTTTTAAAAAATATATTTACTCGAGCAAGATCTTCAGCCTGGACTTTTGCTGATTATTTGAAGGATGGGGGAGGGGGGGGTCTCACAGAATTTTCTTCCTGAGCTGGCACAGATCTCAGATCTCAACTTCCTGAGTAGTTAAGATTATAGGCATGGGCTACCACATCTGGCAGCACTAGAGTTTGAACTCAAGGCTTCATGTTTACTAGGAAGGTGCCCTACTGCTTGAGCCAGGCCCCCTATCTAAAAAGTATATAGCCATCACCCTCTTCTATGTCCTAGTATTGGGACAAGGGGGAAAAAAGTGTGATCTCAATAGACGGTAACTCAAACACAATAAGTAAAGATGGCAATAGGTTATCTACTAGCATGGGAGGTTATGCATAATTTATCTTTCAATTCTAATTTGTTATAACTTATATGCTAATTAAAAAGAAAAAAAGAGGGCTGGGAAGGTGGCTCAGGGGTAGAGTGCTTGCCTTGCATGCATGAGGCCCTGGGTTCGATTCCTCAGCACCACATAAGCAAAAAGAAAAAAGCCGGAAGTGGTGCTGTGGCTCAAGTGGTAGAGCGCTAGCCTTGAGCTGAAGAGCTGAGGGACAGCGTCCACGCCAAGAGTTCAGGCCCCACAACTGGACCAAAAAAAAAGAAAAAAAGACGGGCACATTTCTCAGCTTGGTGTAAGTGGTATAAATGGAGTTTGTACCATCCACTTGACATACACCTCTGCCTTTTTTCACCTCCTTCATTATCTCTTCCTACTTAAAGCACCCAGGCCCTGAGTTCAAGTCCCAGTACCAGCACAGAAACAAAGAAAGAGAGACCGAGAGACAGAGAGTGAGAGAGAGGAAGGGCAGGTGGGCGGGCGGGCAGGCAGGAAGACAGGAAGGAAAGAAGGATGGAAGGTAGGAAGGGAAGAAGGAAGGGAGGGAGGGAGGGAGGGAGGGAGGGAGGAAGGAAAGGAAAAAGGAAGGATAGAAGGAAGGGAAGGAGGGCAGGGGAGGGAAGGAAGGAAAAGAGGTAGGGAGGAACGAGCTAGAGAGCTCACAGACTGGCTCCCAGAAACACCCATCAAATCTGAGGAACAAGTTTACTTGGAGGAAATAGGAGGTTTTGCTTTGGTCAGTAATGGTGTTTGAACTCGGAGCCTCATGAATGATCTGTTCTACCACTTCAGCCACACCTCCAAACCTAGTTTTGACTGGTCATTTAGGAGATGGAGTCTCATAACTTTTCTGCCCGAGATGAAAACAAACCATGATCCTCCAGATCTTAGCCTCCAGAGCAGCTTGATTTAGGTATGAATCACTGACACTCAAGTTCGTTTACTGATTTATTTTCTTATGTGTTGGTCCTGGGGTTTGAATTCAGGGCCTGGGCACTGTTCCTGAGCTTTTGTACTTCCATCTAGTGCTCTACTACTCTGAGCAACAGTCCATTTCTGGCTTTTGATAGTTAATTGGAAACAAGAGTCTCCTGGACTTTCCTGAATGGTTGACTTTGAAGCAAGATCCTCAGATCTTAGCCTCCTGAGTAGCTAGGATTATAGGCGTGAACCACTGGGCACTTGGCCGTTTTTTGGGGTTTTTTGTTTGTTTGTTTGTTTTGGGGGGTCCGGTCGTGGGGCCTGAACTCTGGGCCTGGACGCTGTCCCTCAGCACTTCAGCTCAAGGCTAGCGCTCTACCACTTGAGCCACAGAGCCACTTTTGGCTTATGTGGTGCTGAGGAATCGAACCCAGGGCCTCAGGCATGCAAGGCAAGAGCTATATCACTGAGCCACCTTCCCCGCCCTGGCTGTTTGTTTTTTAAGCAGGCTGAAAATGATGGTTTACTATTCACATCTTTGATCATGTTAATTTTAAATTGACAAAATGTATACCCATTTAACATTTACATGATTACAGATGAGTAGCTGGAGAGCCTCTATGTCACTAATAAACCTCTTCCTGACATCAAGCTCTAGGCTACTCTCTTGATTTTAATTCTGTTCTAAATTTATATGTCTACACTGTCTTCTCATTCAAAACCTTTATTTTTAAAAAATATCAGGCAAAAAGTTACCAATATCTGGTTTTGAATTCTGTAAGTGGGCTGGGAAGGTGGCTCAGTGGTAGAGCACTTGCCTTACATGCCTGAGGCCCTGGGTTTGATTCCTCAGCACCACATAAGCAAAAGGAAAAAAGCTGGAAGTGGCGCTGTGGCTCAAGTGGTAGAGCGCTAGCCTTGAGCTGAAGAGCTGAGGGACAGCGCCCCGGCCCAGAGTTCAGGCCCCACAACCAGACCCCCCCCAAAAAAAAAGAATTCTGTAAGTGTAATAACTAGCAGTTGGACTTTACAATAATAACATATTGAAATCTCCTACCTCCAGAAATCCCTTCTGGTTAGGATCCATGTGGTTCAGGGGGATGTAGGTGTTGTCGGTCTCCTGGCAAACCACCATTGCGTGCCTCTGACTAAAAGTTCCACGGCCAACATCTTGGCCACTTAGGCGGACATTAAAACCTTAGGTGGGCAAGTACAAAATAAAAATAAGCAAACAATAAACCAAGGTATCCATGATAGCCTTGGTAATAAGACATGGTAACTCTAATTCTTTTTGAGACAGAAGCTCACTGTGTTGCTTAAGTTGGCCTTAAATTGGCTTCCAGAATTCATACAATTCTCTTGTTTCAGCCTCCTGAGTAGCTGGGATTCTATAGGTGTTGTAAATTGGCTTATTTTGAGATTTTTCTTAGAATGATAGCTTTTCCTTATTAAAAATCTATCTGTTCTATATTCAAAAGTCTAAGACAGGCGCTGGTGGCTCACACCTATAATCCTAGCTATTCAGGCAGCTGAGATCTAAGGAAGGCAGTTCAAAGCCAGCCCAGGCAGGAAAGTCCAGTAGACTCTTGTCTCCAGTTAACCAAAAGGTAGGAACTGTGGCTCAAAGTGGTAGAGCACTATCCTTGAGCAGAAAAGCTCAAGGACAGTGCCCAGGCCATGAGTTCAAGCCCCATTAAACCCCTCCCCAACCAAATTTATACTTAAAGTGAAATTGTATAAGTTGCTCTAAAATTTTTAGAGAAAAATATCTTCTCAATAATCCAACCATGAGTCCCATGTTTCTAGGTATAACTATTCTATTATCTATTCTCTAATAATAAAGGCTGTCCACATAACTTGTGCTGTGATTAGGCAATACTTTCAGGAAGCATATTTTCGAACATGTTTTAGACAATGGAAATAACATGAGTTGTGATTTAGGAAATCATATAGGCTCTATGTAACAAATAACATTCAGAGTGCTCTCTCCAGCTGTGAAGCTAAACAGAAATATCTTACCTTGAGCAAGTAGGGAGCCCAGTGCAAGGGTTTCTGCTGTGGCCCAGTCTAAATTTGTTCCATTCTTTATTTTCTCCATTCTAGACTGTAAACATGAGGGGGAAGAAAAAGAAATTTCCAATCGTTCATATCCTTTTTTAATATAGGTTTTTATATTTTAATGAAAGCAAGATAAGTAACAAAAACATAATGCCAAATAAAAACAGTACAGACAGATATATCAAAGTATGAGAAAAATTATAAACTGGGAAGTGGAGCTGTGGCGTAAGTGGTAGAGTGCCTTGAGCAAAAACGCTCATGGGCAGCACTCAGGGTCTAAGTTCAAGCCCCAGGACTGGCACACAAAAAAATTATAAATAGGTTGTTGTTGTTGTTGTTTTGATCAGTCATGGGGCTTGAGCTCAGGGCCTGGGCACTGTTCCCAAGCTTTTTGTTTCTGTTTTTGTTCAAGGTTAACTCTCTACCACTTTGAGCCACAGCTCCATTTCCAGTTTTTAAGTGGTTAACGAGATAAGAGTCTCACAGACTTTCCTGACCAGGTTGGCTTTGAACTGCAATCCTTAGAACTCAGCCTCCTGAGTAGCTGTAATTACAGACATGAGCCACCAGCACCTGCCTATAAACAGGTTTTTTCTATTGTTTTCCATTTTAATTGGAAAAAAATCTGTATTTTTCTTACAATAAATAGATCTTCTGGGTACATATATTAAAAATGCATAAATAATAAATGGCTAAAGTCAGGAAAATATGAATTGACTCTCAACACCAAAAGAACACTGGGTTTTAGTTCCTAGAACTAATATTATATACAATAAGTACTTGTCAAAGAAATTAGCAGCTGAAAAGACTGGACAAGTAGTTCCTTTGCTGAGCAAGCAGAAAAGGCAGTAACAGATGATTTCAAGGCTCCTACCTGAACATACATCTTTAGAAGGTGAGTGTGCACCTGCAGTTCCTTCGGGACCTCCACAGACTTCATGCCAATAAACCTCAGGAGGTCAAGGGGCACACCTGTGTCCCAGGTAGTGATGCATGCTTCCGGCTGAACCAGGCCCTGCCAGTGGGCCTGCAGGTGGGGGGTAGGAGGTCGGTAATTGGCCATGTTGGTTAAGTGGTCATTTAACTTGGCATAGTAGGAAGCTTTTATTTCAGACACCTCCTCCTGGGTCATGAGCCCATTGGCAATGAGGTGCTCTACATATGTGTCTGGGATGCTTTTTCGGGCCCTGTGAGAAAGAGAAGGGGGAAAAAAATCTGGTATGCACAATTCCAAGAGAGGCAGAGACGAGACAATTATTATGAAAGACATTATCACTGTTAAAATGCACTTAGGAAATGTCTTGGAACTAGATAGAAGCACTGTTTGAAGAATATTTCCTATATTTTCTATTTTAGGTGTATTGAGAATTATTTTATGGCCTAACACAGTCTCTCCTGGACAGTGTTTTATATATACTTGAGAAGAATGTATATTTTTCTGTTATTCAGAAAAATGGTTTATCTGAGTCTGTTAGATCACATTAGTTTATAATATTTTTCATTTTTTTTGTCGGTCCTGGGGCCTGAACTCTGGGCCTGGGCACTGTCCCTCAGCTCTTCAGCTTAAGGCTAGCCCTCTACCACTTAAGCCACAGTGCCACTTCTGACTTTTTCTGCTTATGTGATGCTGAGGAATGAAACCCAGGGCCTTATGCATGCAAGGCAAGCACTCTACCACTGAGCCACCTTCCCAGCCCTCAATTCTTTTTTAAAGACCATCTTGCTACATTGTCCAGGCTAATCTTAAAATCTTGGCCTCAAGTGATCTTCCTGTCTCAGCATCCTGTCTTGATTTTACAGATATGCCCACACACGCACACAAGCATGTGTACATACCCACACTACACACACACACACACACACCTGGATTATTCAACTCATTATTGAAAATGTTACCTTGAAGTTTCCAAGTATTGTAGAAATACCTATTCCTTATACTTATTACCTTACTCATGTAATTGTAATCCCTCTGTACATCATCTCTATAATAACAATAACCTAAATTAATAAGTAAATTAATAATAAGTAAATAAAGTAAAGTAAAGAAAGAATGTTGTCTATGTACTGCAATTTTGAAATACTGTAGTAAATTTTACCTTATATCAATTTTCACCTCAGTAAGTTAACAAGACATTAATCAAATTTTAACTAATCAATTAAAAATGCTCATGAGTAACAAGCTCTTCCAGATAAACAAGAGAAACAAATTTGCCATTATAAGTTTTTGTCTACATTCAGGTAGAAACTAGTGGAGTTTTCCTACAAATTGGCAACTTCTGGACAGTGATTTTCAAAGCTGACCACTTTATCTACTCTGCGTACCCTTACAGGGTACACAGTGATCCCGCTCAAGGCAAGCCCTATACCACTTGAGCCACAGAGCCACCTCCGGTTTTCTGGTTAATTTGAGATAAGAGTCTCATAGACTTTTCCTGCCCGGGCTGGCTTTGAACGGTGCTCCTCAGATCTCAGCCTCCTGAGTAGCTAGGATTACAGGCACTAACCACTGGCACCCAGCTTTATTATGATATTTTAAAGTATTAGCCAATATACTCCCAAATTGTCATTTCAATATCAGATCAGTATAGAAAGTCTTATTGAGCTACTTAGCATTTCCGTTTTACATGCTAAGTCTTTGAAATATGGTGTGTGTATTACACTTCCAGCGCATGTCCATCAGGACTGACCACACTTTAAATGCTCAAATGGCCAATTACTGGCTTAAATAGCCACTATGAAATGGTCATCTATTTCTCACCAAGGTTCAAAGTAGGTCCATATTTATGGATTGTAGAAGGGAATCATAGGTCCTATTCCTGATCCAACCAGCATCATACTAAGGAGCATCAAGCAAGGCTTTGCCCAAGTACTCCTACCTTAGTCTTCCCAACTGCTAAGTGAGTTGCTAAGCTGCCCTTCCTCATTCAACAAGCAAATGGAGTTTGAAGACTATGTGACCTATGGTGACCATCCCAGTTTGTTCAGGGCTGTCTCTGGAAAGTCTCATGTCCTAAGGAAACTAAGAGAATTGCCCATATACTTGAGAGTATCTATTAAAAATTAACAGGGTTTGGGAGTGTTGATCAGTGGTAGGTGTAAAGCCCCTGACTTCAATCCTAGCACTGCAAATAGATAGATAGATAGATAGATAGATAGATAGATAGATAGATAGATAGATGCAAGAATGCAAGCATTATGCAGTCAGAAGGCATATCAAATGAAGGTTTATGGTTGTACCTGATGATTTTATACATGATTGGATTGGTGAAGAAAGGCTCGTCCAGTTCATTGTGGCCCCACTGCCTGTAGCATAACAAATCAATAATCACATCTTTCCGGAATTGGCGCTGATATTCAAAAGCTAGTCGTGTGGCCCGGACTACTTCCTCTGGCCTGTCTCCATTGACGTGAATGATAGCACAGCCTACAAGCTTCCCTGAAGAAGGAAGTACACAGATGAAGGTCAATTCACTTAGAATGACATTAGCCTTTCCCCCAAGACCTACTGCCTGAATAGGAAGACAGCATTTGTACTCAAGAAGTTTGGTTTGGTTGGTGAGAATCAAGTCCAGTGACAAGTCCCAGATCCATCACTTCTTGTATAATCTTGTATAAACTTGGTAAGTTATAAATCTGAGTGCAGTTCTGCCTCTTAGTGAAATGTCAAGATTATATGAGCTAATAAACACAGTATTAAAACTTCATCATAATGCCTGATACAAAATAGTTAACATTATTTTTGCTATTACAATTGCTATTACCTTTCTTCCTGAGATAGAAGAGTCATTAAAGAATACATCCTAGGAAAAGACATTTACTTCAAAGAGAAATTCTAGACTAGTTCTGCACTCTCTCTACCAGACTATTTACAAAGACAGTTCCCATAGATAATTCTAAAAGGCTTCTATCTAAGCTTTGGGTACAAAAACGAAGAGTTTCTATTAGCCAGCAATTCTTGTAACAGGTTCTGTGAAAACAGGAATGGGTAATACAAGATCTGATTGCCCTTTTTTTTTGTCAGTCATGGCCTGGGCACTGTCCCCCAGCTCTTCAGCTCAAGGCAAGTGCTCTACCACTTGAGCCACAGCGCCACTTACAGTTTTCTGGTGGTTAATTGGAGATAAGAGTCTCACGGACTTTCCTGCCCAGACTGGCTTTGATGTACGCTTCTCAGATCTCAGCCTCCTGAGTAGCTAAGATTACAGGCATGAGCCACCTGCGCCCAGCAAGACTGCTTATATTTATAGATTAAAACAAGTTGCTTTTGCCAAGCAGAGGTGCCAAGCAGAGGTTGAGAACTGAGGATTTTGGTTCAAAGCCAGCTGGAGCAGGAAAGTCCATAAGGCTTTTCTCATATTAACTACCAAAAAGACAGAAATGGAACTGTGGCTCAAGTGGCAGAAAGCTAGCCTTGAGCAAAAACTTCAGGGACAGCAGCCAGGCCCTGAGTTCAAGGACCAGTATACACACACACACACACACAGTTGATCTTTACATTTTAATTCTCAGTAGGCTACCTCACCAATCTTAGGATTGAACATATTATTTTTTACTAAGTTCTTGGCATTCCAAGCTTGAATATTCTAAAGGTAATTCTCTAGTATTGTACTGTGTTACTGTGTTATTCTCTGACTTCTACCAGAAAGGGCTACTGAAGGAATTTGAGACAGGACACTCTATAAACTCTATCCTTTTATTATTTCCTTGGATTTCAAGAGCAAACTCAGGGATGAAAGCAAAGCTAGTGGTCAAGCACTTGCATGGCTTGCATGAAGTCCAGTGTTTGATCCCAAAAAAATCACAAAATAAGAATAATCATGGCAGTAGTAGTAGTAGTAGTAAATACCACACTCAGACTGTAAGAGTAATACTAACTTGAAAACTGAATAATTGCTAACCACATCTGATCCAAATTTTAACATGGGAAATGCAATAAAACTCACTGTTTTCAATGACCTACAAGTTTCTCTAAGAATTCCATATCCTTCAGAACAATCAACATCAATCCTGCCGTGTTACATACCAATATCACTACTGTATAAAGAAGACCTTCCTCTTTCTGCAGGAGTGGTGTAACCCAGCTGGTTATTGACAATCAAATGGATACTGCCACCAATTCTGAAATGTGGGAGGTTAGACAGTGTAAATGTTTCAAGAACAATTCCTTGACCGCAGAAAGATGCATCACCATGAACCTAAAACACAGGGGGATAGGGACATGAAGAATTAAGAAGTTTAGGTTTTTAGATTAAAATGCTTTTAAATACTAATAGAACAAAATGAGTTCTAAGAAATGAAAACAAGAAGTTTTTTCTTTGTTAAAATAAAATACTAATAAGAATATAAAAGCAACTGCTTTATCACTATTCTCCTGTTCTCCTCAAAGTATGCAGATTATAGGAATTCTTGGACTGGTTGGTCAGCCTGATGTCAAAGGCAGCTTTCAAAGATGCTCCTTCTGTTCTTTTCACTTCCCATCACCATCAGTTAACCCACCCCTCCCCATCACACCCTGTGCCATTGGTCCATGCAGCAAACACTGTAGTTTCCACAGCATCCTGTAAGGGGAGGGACTTACAGAGGCACAAAGAGAATCTCAGCTCTAGGAAACCTGGCGAGAAAATAGTCTGTAAAACCAGAGGAATGGGGCTGGGAAGGTGGCTCAGTGGTAGTGTGCTTGTCTTGCATGCACGAGGTCCTGGGTTCGATTCCTCAGCACCACATAAGCAAAAAGAAAAAAGCCAGAAGTGGCGCTGTGGCTCAAGTGGTAGAGCGCTAGCCTTGAGCTGAAGAGCTGAGGGACAGCGCCCAGGCCCAGAGTTCAGGCCCCATGACCAGACCCAAAAAAAAAAAAAGAAAGAAAACAGAGGAATAGCACACCACTTGGGCTCTCCCTCTCCCTAGCCACCTTGCCCAGGAAATGAGACTACACTTGCTCCCATCACCTAATCTTCACTGTAATATCATGAACATGACAAACACAAGAAGGTACAGGAGAAGAGAATGTCACATGCAAATGGAAGGTGGGTTTAAAGAAAAATGAAATACTGTGAAAGAATCTCTCCCATGTGCTAAGTTTCCAGAACATTCCAAGCCTGCTAGATCAGAATATCATTACAAACTCTGGTAGATAATGTGGTAAAGAAGGGCGATTTTTTCACATCTAAAATAATGATGGGGTTGAAGATCTCAGAAGAAAAAGTTTAAGACAACTGCAGAAATCATCTTTTCCTAAAATGTGATTTCACTTTCCTCTAATTTTCAGATCTATTTAACCCAGACATTCTTGCTCCCTGGTTTTCCCAACCTCTGGCCTCTCTTCCTGAAACTACAAGTACCTGTAAGCAAATGACTTTGTCCCCAGGCTGAGCTGAATCATTGGGAGAGTAGTCCCCATCCTGCCGAGACTGTTGTCTGCCACGAGTTTTCCCCACAGCCACGGGATTAACGGCTTCCAGGTGTGAGGGGTTCGGCAGCATTGTCACGTGGAGCGGACGGTGGGAACCAAAGTCCAGGTCCACAGACGATGTCAGGTGAGACAGGACATCTCCAATGGCTGAGACATTGTCTGGAAATTCACTTAAGCCTTGCATTTTACGGAACATCAGCTATTAGACAAATAGGAAAATGATACTTTTTTTTTATCACAATGGAGATTAGGGAGAAAGTGGCTAGTTTAAATACAATGAAAATAACGATGATGTAAATGTATTTGTAATTATTATAAATAGTCATTATCCAGGTGTGGCTCAGAGTTATTTGGTGATCTTCAGAATCAAGTAAAGTGCTAACATTTTAAGAAGAACATTTTAAGAGGAAAATAGCAAGCAGATTTCAATTAGAAAAACTTTTTAAAAATATACCTGTTATAATATATTTGCCAATAGGATTCTGTATCAATTTTGTTAAAAGTAAAAAAGAAACTAGTTGGGCTGGGAAGGTGGCTCAGTGGTAGAGCGCTTGCCTTGCATGCTCGAGGCCCTGGGTTCGATTCCTCAGCACCACATAAGCAAAAAGAAAAAAGCCGGAAGTGGCGCTGTGGCTCATGTGGTAGAGCGCTAGCCTTGAGCTGAAGAACTGAGGGACAGCGCCCAGGCCCAGAGTTCAGGCCCCACGACCGGACCCAAAAAAAAAAAAAAAGAAAGAAACTAGTCTGCATGCCAGTGGCTCATGCTTATAATCCAAGCTACTTGGGAGGCTGAGATCAGAAAGTTTGTGAGTTCAAGGCCAGGTCAGATACAAAAGTTCACAAGATCCATTCTCAACTGGGTACAATAGCATGCACTTGTTATCCTAGATATGTAAGAGGCTAAGGCTCTTGGTTCCAGGCCAGAGTGAACAGAAAAGTCTGTGAGACTTCATCTCAGTGGAAGAAACTGGGTGTGGAAACTGGTTGTACCTGTCATCCCATCTACAGAGGGAAGAAAAATTAAGAGGATCATAGTCCAGACTCATGCCTAGGAATGATTAGCCAGTGAACAAGAAAAGATTAGAAGCAGTGGAGCACCTGCCTAGCTAATACAAGGCCTTAAGTTCAAATCATAATACTACAAAAAAAAAAAGAGGAAACCAGTAAAATAGAATGCAATTCCACTTAGATAAAAGATTATGTATATTGCTTAACTCAAGCCATATCTGAAGATTATACCACGGAATTCTGGAAAGATTTCTTGATATATGAGCTCCTACTTCATTTTTGTCTTCTATGACACAGATATATAAACCATTTTGAAAATCAACAATACATTCTCAAAAGTCCTTCACTGATAAGTGACAAAACTGGATCCAAAACTAAGATTTAAACACCTAAATTCTAAATTAGCCAAACTATTTGAATACCTAGAACTTTCTCTAGCTTTGAACAACTTCTAATTGTCCTATATACAATAAAGAATAGGTATGTTCTTATAATTTCTTCATCTTGTAAGACTGTTTTATCTGAGTGATCTTAGGAATGTCATTTTTTGGTTTAAGAATTTCTGTACCTACTTAAGCATATGTCTGTATCTGCCAATCAGTTTAGTCTGGCATATTCTACCTTGACTCAATTACTAGTCCTTGTGTATGAGTATTTGTGTGATGCCCACTGGTACTGGGCTTAAACACAAGCCTTTATGCTTGTTTGGCTTTTACTTACAGCTGGTGCTCTAACACTTGAGACAAGCCTCCCTTTTAGGATTTTCTGGTTAACTGGAGGTGAAGTCCCATGGACTTTTCTGCCTAGGCTACCCTTGAACTGTGATTCTACAGGGCTCAATCTCCTGAGTAATTAGGATAAGCAACTAGCCTTTAAAAAATCAAAACAAATGAGATGTGAGAAATGTGTTTAAAAGACAACATATTGTTATATTATCCAGTCTGGCCTTGAATTCCTGAGTTCAAGTGATCTCCAGCCAAAACCTCACCACTAGCTGAGACTACCAAGAGTACACCACTATAATCAACTAACACCACATGAATTTTCTAAAGGTCTGAAGATTAATACATCATTCTCTGAGCTCTGGTTCACTCTAACTTTGACAAATCCTCAGAGCCTGACAAAACTCAGGGCCTGAGCACTGTCCCTGAGTTTCATTTGTTCAAGGCTAGCACTCTACCAGTTGAGCCATAATGCCACTTCCAGCTTTTTCTGTTTATGTGGTACTGAGGAATCGAACCCAGGGCTTCATGCATGCTAGACAAGCACTCTATCACTAGGCCACATTCCCAGCCTCTTAACAAATCATTTAACAGTTATAATTATTTTTAATCTTTTGGCCTATAAATTTATCCTGAAATGTATCCATGTATAAGGATAAAATTCTTCAATTTTAGATCTCTCTGATGGGTCCTTGACATAAAAATCTTCATTCTTGGGCTGGGAAGGTGGCTCAGTAGTAGAGCACTTGCCTTGTATGAGGCCCTGGGTTCGATTCCTCAGCACCACATAAGCAGGAAAAAAAAAAAAGCCAGAAGTGTCGCTGCGGCTCCAGTGGTAGAGCTCTAGCCTTGAGCTGAAGAGCTGAAGGACAGTGCCCAGGCCCAGAGTTCAGGCCCACTTCATTCTTGACTTCAAATCTTTTGGGCAATGTAAAAAGCAGCTAAGTTGGACTGTACAGAGATACCAAGAGCCAATCACTTATAAAGTACTCACTTTGAGCTGGGAAGGTGGCTCAGCGGTAGAGCGCTTGCCTTGTATGCATGAGACCCTGGGTTCAATTCCTCAGCACCACATAAGCAAAAAGAAAAAAGCCGGAAGTGGCGCTGTGGCTCAAGTGGTAGAGCGCTAGCCTTGAGCTGAAGAGCTGAGGGACAGCGCCCAGGCCCAGAGTTCAGGCCCCATGACCGGACCCAAAATAAATAAATAAATAAAAAATAAAGTACTCACTTTGGTGGTCATTGAGATAAATGTAGTATTAATTCTACTATAATCCAATAACTATAAACTTTGCATGACTTCTTGCAGAATTGTATAAAATTGCATACTTTGTTTGAACAAAGGGTATTAAATGAAAAAGGTATTGTCAAAGGATAAAATTCAGTTCTATTTCCATCATCCTTTAACTTCCCTGAGAGGAGAAAGCGTCCATACAAAAACACACATTAAAACAACCCAAGTAGTGAATATCAGTTCTAGCTGTCAGCATTAAATTTCGCCCATTCACAACCTGGACCACTGCTCAGATGTTTACTTGACTTGCTAAGGGCAACGACTCCCACAGTTTTATTGCGTTTCAGTGCACTGCACAGTATTGGGAAGAAACACAGAAAACAACCTCACCTCTGGAGGTAACTGCAGAAGGCCTGTCAATAAATTCAGCCTCCCTCGATGGGGCATCCCAATGATGACATCAGTTATCCCGCTGTAGGCTGACATCTTCAGCAACTCATGAAAAAAGCCCATCATGCTTTCAGCCCCTTCACCTCCATAGCGCTTCACTGTGGCAAATTTGGTGGCCAGAAAGTGGTCAAACTCCTGTGGAACATCAAGTCAGACATGTTAGCTGCTCAGGTGAAAGACAAATGAGTTATGTGTGTTGTGACACGATCCCACAATACGCCAGTGGCCAGAGCTGTGCCCATTCCCTATCCCAGGGAGACATAAGTAACTCATGGACAGCTCTGCCAAGGATACAGTGGGGGTTGCAAATCAACTTATTCAGAGAACCTTGTTACATATGTGCTCTAGACTAGGGACTAGTTATGAGATGAGATCTCTGTGCCTCTTTTAATTAGTGTTTTAGTAGAGGCTTCTACAGTACTAGTTAATCAAGACCACTATCCAACCGTCAAAATTATTGGGAAGAAGCTTGGTGTCATCTAAACATGCGTGAATCTTGATCACCCTTCTTTTAGAGATTCTATTCCACTAATTTATATCCAGAGCCTCTTCCATGGAGAAGACAAAGAGAAAAAAGCACTTAAGGACTTTGTTGTCTTTTATAAAGTAACTAGACAAATACAAAAAATACTTATTTTTTTTTGGGGGGGGCAGGGGTAGTGGCTTTAACTCTGGGCCTGAGTGCTGTCCCTCAGCATTTCAGCTCAAGGCAAGCACTCTACCACTTGAGCCACAGTGCCACTTCCAGTTTCCAATTTAGAGTCTCATGGAATTTCCTGCCAGGCCTGGCTTTGAACCATGATCCTCAGATCTCAGCCTCCTTAGTAGCTAGCATTACAGGTGTAAGCCACCAGCATCCAGCATAAAATACTGTGACTTAGGAGAAACAAAAGCTTAAATGTCTGATGGTCCTATTACGCTGCTACTTAGAATAAAGTGCTGTGTGTTGTATTGTCTGCTATATTAAAGCAATGAAGGCAAGTTAAAGCAAATTCAGAGTCAGTGCTGTAAATTTTTCCCTTCAGTAGTTATCATTGTAGGGAGAGACTTGACCTCTCCTATTGAGACAAGGTGCTACTTTCATACCTGAGATTCTAACATTAATTTTGACAGATGTTTTCGCTCTTCCGTGGTAAATGGCTCCTTTTTCAGCTCCTCAAACCGCCTCATAAACCAGTCTTTCTCTTCCTGGGTCTGAAGTTGGGCAGTTTCAATAGAAATTGGCCCACAGAAGATCTGGTTCAAATAGGCTAATACTTCCTCCAGAGAGGCTTCTTCCTTGCCCATGTTCAATAATCCTAGGGAATGAATCAAAGGGATCATAGCAAAAAATCATTAACCATGCAGAAAGTTTTCTGGAGGGCTGGGAAGGTGGCTTAGTGGTAGAGCACTTGCCTTGCATGCCTGAGGCCCTGGGTTCGATTCCTCAGCACCACATAAGAAAAAAGAAAAAAGCCGGAAGTGGCGCTGTGACTCAAGTGGTAGAGCGCTAGCCTTGAGCTGAAGAGCTGAGGGACAGTGCCCAGGCCCAGAGTTCAGACTCCACGACCGGACCCAAAAAAAAAAAAGTTTTCTGGAATATACTGAAAGAACTACTTCAATCCATAGCACTTCAATATTAATAAATTGCCGGGCGCCGGTGGCTCACGCCTGTAATCCTAGCTACTCAGGAGGCTGAGATCTGAGGATCGCGGTTCAAAGCCAGCCCGGGCAGGAAAGTCTGTGAAACTCTTATCTCCAATAAACCACTAGAAAACCAGAAGTGGCACTGTAGCTCAAGTGGTAGAGCGCTAGCATTGAGCTGAAGAGCTGAGGGACAGTGCCCAGGCCCAGAGTTCCTATGACTGACAATAATAATAATAATAATAATAATAATAATAATAATAAATTAAGTCATAATTGATATTCAGTTATACTTTTTTCTTTTGGTGGGAAAATGAACTCAAGGCCTCACATATAATCAAGTAGGTTATCACTGAGCTATAACGCAACCTTATTTAGATTATTCTGAAGACAAAATTTAAAATATGGTCAAAAGCCACGTGCTGGTGGCTCACATCTGTAATCCTAGCTACTCAGGAGGCTGAGATCTGAGGATCGCAGTTCAAAGCCAGCCCAGGCAGCAATGTCTGTGATACTCTTATCTCCAATTAACCACCAGAAAAAATACAGAAGTGGCTCTGTGGCTCAAGTAGTAGAGGGCTAGCCTTGGGCTGAAGAGCTGAGGGACACCAAGTTCAAGACCCATGACTGGCCAAAAAAAAAAAAAAATGGTCAAAGACTATGAAATAGTAAAACTAGGAAAATAAAAAACAACCTTTCTCTGTGTGTGTGTGTGTGTGTGTGTGTGTGTGTGCGTGCTCGCGTGGGCATGCCAGTCCTGGGGCTTGCATTCAGGGCCAGGGTGCTGTCCCTGAGCTTCTTTTGCACAAGACTAGCACTCTACCACATAAGCCACAACTACATTTGCAACTTTTTGGTATTTTATTGGAGGTCAGAGTCTCTTAGACTTTCCTGCCTGGGCTGGTTTTGACTGTGAACCTCAGATCTCAGCCTGCTGAGAAGCTAAGATTACAGGTGTGAGCTACAGGCACTTGTATGAAGTTCCCCCTTTCTTTTTTTTTTTTTTGTCAGTCATGGTGCCAGAACTCTGGGCCTGGGCACTGTCCCTCAGCTCTTCAGCTCAAGGCTAGAGCTCTACCACTTGAGCCACAGCGCCACTTCTGGCTTTTTTCTTTTTGCTTATGTGGTGCTGAGGAATGGAACCCAGGGCCTCATGCATGCAAGGCAAGCACTCTACCACTGAGCCACCTTCCCAGCCCGTGAAACAGGCCCTCTCTTAAGAACACCTCCAGGCCAGTCTTGCCTGAAGACAACTGTGTCCCTCCTTTCTCCTCATTGGAGAAGCTCAGTGGAGGCCTCAGCTCTTCAAATGTGTAAGTTCTCCACAAACATCCAAAAGAACCCTGCCTCATGTGGGTGGGCAGTTCTCCTCTTCTCTCCTTCCCAGCTACTTTCTTACCTGTGGTGGTCAAGGGTCCCTGCAGTGTCTCCACGAGGGCTTGGATTTCAGGCACCTTGTCTAGCAGGTCTTGTCCAGTGATGAGAGGGTTGATCTGGGCAGCTTTGTGACCATGCTCACAGTATGCTGCCACCAATCTGGAAAGGCCATGATCAACTAGATAAGAGGAAAACAAAACAGTGCAGTTAAGGAGATGCCCACAAATCACAAAAATTAGCTTTCTAAAGCTCACACTGCAGCCTTCCACCTTGTTAATACCTTATTTCTACTCACCACATCTGCCAGTGATTTTCAAGACTAAATTCTATCAGAATTCAGATAAACCTTATTTCTCTATATGACAGCCAAAGTCATATAAATAAGAAAATGAGTACAGACTTGTAAAAATAACGATACACATAAATTCATATGTGTATAATGAAAAATGGAAAGTGACCTTTTGTGTGTGTGTATGTGTGTGCCAGTCCTAGGGTTTGCACCTAGGGCCTGGGCGCTGTCCCTGAGCTTTTTTTTCTTTTTTCTTTTTTTTGCTCAAGGCTAACACTCCACCACTGCAGCCACAGCTCCACATCAGCTTCTTGGTAGTTAGTGGGGTTAAGTCTCACAGACTTTCCTGACCCAGCTGGCTTCAAACCATGATCCTAAGATCTCAGCCTCCTGAGTGGCTAGGATGTGAGCTCAGCAAGACATTTGTTTTTTAAAGTATAAGAGCTTAACCCTGCCAGTGGCTCACTCCTAATCCTAGCTACTCAGGAGGCTGAAATCTGAGGATCACAATTCAAAGCCAGCCCGGCAGGAAAATCTGTGAGACTCTTATTTCCAATAAACAACTAGAGAACCAGAAGTGGCTCTGTGACTCAAGTGGTAGAGCACTAGCCTTGAACTGAAGAGCTGAGGGACAGAGCCCAGGCCCAGAGTTCAGGCCCCATGACCGGCCCTCCCCCCTCCCCCCCCCCAAAAAAAATGCTTAACTATTATACTTTTTAGTTCTGCATTCGTGTTCCAGAATTTGATTTTCTTTATCTTTGCAAATCTATACAGCTCTTCAATTTTTTTGAAGCTTTTTCTTTATAACTGCAGTAACGATTCCTATTATTTCCAACATAAAGAGTCCCACAACCTCAATCACTACCAAAGCTGAGTGCAGAGCTATAAATCACTAAGAGTACTTTGGCTTCCAACAGATCAAATCCTCTTTAATCTCGTGATGGGCTCTAAATACTGACATATAGTTTTATGTTTTCTTTGTAATTCTTTATACCCAAGAATCACAACTCCTAAACCCATCTCCATTGTAAATTACTATTTTTTTAATAAATTCCAAATCAATGCACCAGACTCTCAATCCCCAAAACCAAAATAAATAAATAAATAAATAAATAAAAGCACGTGTGGAAGCTCATAGCTGTAAACCCTATATACACAGAGACAGAGGTAGGAGAGTTGTAGTTCAAGGCTAGCCCCAGGTACCAGACTCTCTCTAAAAAATAACTAAAGGAAAATGACTAGTGAGTTGTCTCAAGTACCTAGCAAGGAAGCATGAAAACCTAAATTCAGACCTCAATATTGAATAAATGAATAAATAAATAAAATTTACTTGACAACCGAGATTTACACCCATCATCAAGTTAGCTACAAAAAGCAATCAATCCTCATGGGTCAAAGTTTATCTAGTGAAATCATTGCTATGTAAAAGGCCATTACAATCAAATTCAATATTTCCTCTAAGTCTGAGTACAAGTGAAGTGTTAGTGAATGATGTGGTCATCCTTTGCAAGCACCAATTCTAACCAAGATAAACATATGTAGAAAAGACATCAATGATGGGTGAAGAAGAGCAGGGAGGCTCCATAACCTACCTATATCTCTTCCCACTTCACTATGCAGTCCAGGCTGGCCTTGTCCTTGATATCCTCCTGCCTCAGCCTCCCAAGGTCTCGGCTCTACCTCGAGCCCAGCCACCAAGTTAGTTTTTGTTGTTGTTCTTTATTTAGTAGTTTATTGAGATACATTCTTGCTATGTAACTCAGGCTAACCTTGAACTTGCAATCCTCTTACATTTGAATCCCACGTACTGGGATTTCAGCACTGTGTGACTTTTGATGTGTCCATTTTCATTGTCCTTTCATTTACTTTGCCAGCCAATAGAAAAAAGTAACATACAGCATTCTTAACACTAACTCATCAATACCAAGATAGTACCTTTCATGACAAATTGCACACATCATGAAAAAAAAAATTAAAGCCATCCTTGGCCTTGTCAGACTGCTTCCTATTTCAGTTGCAAGATTAACCATAAACATATGCTTACACAGAATTTAAGGAAAAATTAAGAAAATCTTTATCTTCACAAAGCATAATGATAGTATATTGCCCCATACATAAAGGGCTTACTCTCCTGATTGTACAGGCAAAATTCAAACATACCATTTAGTAGGTGAACTGCAGAGAACCAAGCCTATTTCTATTTCTATGTAAGAAATAAGAAGTTGGAGCTATCCATTTCAACAAAGATGGAAATTTAGCCTTGCTAACAGGAATGGATTCTTGTGCCAGGCACCGGTGGCTAACGCCTGTAATCCTAGCTACTCAGAGGGCTGAGATCTGAGGACCATGGTTCAAAGCCAGTCTGTGAGATTCTTATCTCCAATAAACCACTCAGGAAACCACAAATGGTGCAGTGCCTCTAGTTGTAGAGTGCTAAACTTGAGCTGAAGGGCTGAGGGAGAGTGTTCAGGCCCAGAGTTCAAGCCCCATGATTCCCCCCCCCACCCAAAAAAAGAAAAAAACAAAACAAGAATGGATTCTCTGTGGTATCAGAGCCTAGAATGCAGAGCCTGGCAAGGTTGAAAAATAAGAAGCACTTGGGAGAGATGATTCTAGGTTGGGAAGTGTGACTCTATCAACAAAAAAAGCTGAAAATGTGCCGCCTGAAGTTCCAACCCTCAGTATTCACTCCCCCTACACACAAAGACAGCTTTTCCATCTATATCGCAGGCTTGTGTGGATATTGACCATGTTTGGACCAAAACAATGCTACTGGAGGTCAAATATATAACTCTCTTTTCTCCTTCCTTCCACACAGCCTAGTAGAATAATTTACAAAAACAATTCTAAAACAGGAATTTTCTGACACAGAAAGAAAAAAAAGCTGCCATATCTACACATAGTGGTAATTTGGAAATGTTACTCCATTAGCCTCTACATTTTACTCAAAATATTTTAAAAACATAAAATTAAAGTTATTACCCTTCCCAACAAAATTCCTTAAATCAGATCCTGCAACTGCGACACAAACAACTGCTTCTAGGGGAAAAAATTGTCTCTAGAATTAATTTTGCTCTTCCCTCCCAGAACCCTCCTTTATATAAGAGAGAGAGAAAAAAAATAGTATTCTAGAAACTCACCTCAATCTGGGGAAAAGGGAAGGACCAGAGCTGGGAACCAGTATTTGAAACACTGAAACTATTAATGCATACTTAAGATTGAAGTTTAGAGTTAGGGTTAGGGCTAGAGAACAAGTCCGAGGAAGCTGAAGAAGTTGCTCAGAGGTACATGGCCCTAAGTTCGATTCCTAATATAAGAAAAATTTGAAAAGTACAACAATTTGAAAAGTCAAATATACCTAGTCTTAACCTAAATCAGGATTTACAACCTATGTTGGCCAAAATGCATTCCCTAAGGAGAAAACAGTTTTTTTTCTTTCTTTCTTTTTTTTTTTTTTAGATGTTCCCTAAGGTGAAGAAAGGGCAAAATCCTGAAGTTACCACCGGAGTGTGATACAACATTCAAAGGTCAGGAGCTCACAAGCCGAAAAGAATCTTTCACATTGATCTACTCTTTGTCCCTTCAAAGATGCAAAATATTTTCTCACATTGTTTGTATTTGTCCTCTATTCGGGGGAGACAAAGAGCCTACATACTTAATTTTGGATGTCAAAGGCATGAATTTATTCTTAAGCCGTGAAGACTTATCCTGACAGGGTGGGTAACAGCAGTTAGAGGAAGAAGAAAGTTTGGGGATTTATGTTGACAGAATGAATGACTTCAGAAAACCTTCCCTCCTCACTGTTCAAAATCCAGGGAGGGGCCATAGCTGGTTGCCAAAGTGCAGAGAATTGGCAGAACCCACGGTCTTACACGTGAGCATGCAAACAAGGATGTCAAAAGTGAATGTTTATGCCTGCTATTCCACTAAAATCAGCAGCAACTTGTTCTAGGTTCAGCAGAATTCAAGCTGAGGGCTGGGTAGTCACCGACACAGATAAATGCCATCCTAGTCCAAGACCACAACCAACAATCCTGCCTCTCCCCAGGGGCTGTCCCGGGCTGGCACCCCAACATGCCCACGCACACGTGGGCCCCGAGGAAGACTCGGGACATGGAGGCTGGGGTTACATTTAGAACTTGGGATCCTGCCTCCCACTTCCGAGTTTATGGACGATGGACGGACAGAAAACAGAAATCCTCCCCAAACCAGGACCCAACTTGGAAAGTTCGAGACTACCTAAGAGTGGAACCAATGCTGAGTCACACCCGCACCCTCCTGCCCCAGGGCCCCAGGTCTGTTTCCCCAACCTGACTCCCAACAACCGCCCCCACAGCACCCCCACCCCAGCGACCCCGGTCCCCACTCCGACCTGGGGGCCGCGCCGGGCCGTCCCGGAGCTCGCGGCTCGCGGCCTTCCTGGGCGGGCAGCCGTAGACACCCCTCTCCGTCTGGTAGCCGCGCCTGGGGAGCAGGGGACGGGACCAGAGGAGAGTCCTTCGTGCAGCGGCCGCGGTGGCCAAGGCCATGTCCGCCCTGGTCCTGTGCCCTGGAGCCGCGGCTGGAAGAAAAGCGGTGGCCGCGGGAAGACTGGGGGGGTCCACGGGCGGGAGCGGAGGGAGCTGCAGAGCAAGCTGCAGAGCGCGCCACGCCACGCCTGGCCCAGAGCCCCACCCACGAGACGACGCCCCCGCGTTTCATTGGCCCTGGGCTCTGCTTCTAGGAGCCAATCAGAAGCTGCGACGAAGCCACGCCCAGGATCGGAGGGGTCCGGGCAAAGTCTGGCTGGACTCCTACTTGGGAGGAAAGCCTGAAGCAGACTTATACATAACTGGGCATTTCCGTGCAGCGTACAGGGTCTCGCCCATCACCCCAGAAAGCAGTGTACTTTAATGACAGAACACAAGGGACACTTAAAGGATATTGGGAGGAAGAATAAAATAAAATAATCTATCCCCAAGTTGGGCCTGCCCACGACTATCATCCTAGTTACTCAGATGCCGAGATTTTTAAAGCCTGCTGGAGCAGAGAAGTGAGAGAAACTCTTATCTCCTAGTTAATCACCGAAAAAGGTAGAAGTGGCACGGAGGCTCAAAAGGAGTTCTCGGATAGCACCTAGACCCAGAGTTCAAACCCCAAGACCAGCACGATAAATTGACAGATAGGTAGGTAGGTAGGTAGGTAGATAGATAGATAGATAGATAGATAGATAGATAGATAGATAGATAGATAGATAGATAGATAGATAGATAGATAGATAGATAGATAGATAGATAGATAGATAGATAGATAGATAGATAGATATTGGATGTGTAGATCCTCCCCCTACTAGAAACATTGAGAAAGAATAGGGAGAGGAAGGCAGTAGAAATTTTTGTTAGGAAATGGAAAGGCTTGGAAAAAATTATATTAAGTGAAGCAAGCCAGGCCCAAAGAAACATAGGTCCCATGGTTTCCCTTATTTGCAATATCTAGTATATGTCTGAGTCAAGTAGAAAAGGTCAGATAAGGTGATGTTAGGGAAATGAACCCTAAGATATGTATTCAAATATTTTTTTTCTTTCATGCAATTGTTTCTAACACATTTATAAAATTATTTCTTTGTTGCTTTCTATGTCCCTCCCCCACAGTATAACCCCTGCTTTCACTGAATTTGATGTCCGTATAATTTGTGGAGGGGAAGGGAAAAAACAAATAGTTTAAATAGGGATACAGGTGGACCCATTGCAACAAAGAGATGTACAAGTCTTTAGGTCGAAAATGAACTTTACAACTTCGGTGGGGGGGGGAGCGGGGAGGATTGGGTGGGGGGGGTGGGGGGGAGTCGGGGGAGGATAGGAAGGGATGGGAAGGGCAAACAAAGGAGGAGGCTACAATGCTTGATAAGAAATGTACTCATTATCTTGCCCATGTAATTGTAACCCCTCTGTACAGTATTTTCACAATAAAAAATATAAATAAAAAGAAAAGGTTATATAATACAAGTCAAAAGAAATCGGACGTGGGCTCTTACAGCAGTGTAAGAATACTAGAATACTTAAGAATCTTGTTTGGTTTACCTCTGAGTTTCCCATAAGATTTTATTTTACTGCTAGAATCGAGGTGGGGGAGGGGGTGGAGGGGACGGGTGCATCCTTCCCCAGCTACCCAGCCATCATTCTGGATAGCTTGGCCGTTGTACCCCATTCTCCTAAAAAAATTTTTACTAGAAACATAAAGATCTCCTGGGCTTTTGTCCTACAAAGCAGCCTGCTGAAGAGATTCATAAACGACAGTAGGCCTTTCTGGTCACAATACAGTCCAATATTTTCAGGGACAGGCCTTTAAATGTCTGTACTGATCATGTTGTGTGAGATCCCAAAAAAGCCAAGCTGTGAGACCCAAAAGGATTGGGGGTTTGAAAAGCCTTCTTTCAACATACTCTCAGAACGCAGAGTTTCCTGGAAGGGTAAGTAGTCCTGGCTTAACAGAATTCATATTTCTGTCCTGGGTGAGAGCTAATTCCACCCTAAACTTTCCACCCTAAACTTTCTGGGACCTTGAGGGTAGACTAAGGTTTATGCAAATTGTAAGCTGTTTACTGTTTAGCTCCATTCCCTAGATAAGGAAGCCAGCTACCACAAGTATACAAAAACATTGTCTCACCTCAATGTTTATACTTTACTTTCTGCACATCCTCCCCTATATGAAACCAATAAACACCTTGGTGAATGGAATCTTAGGCTCTGAAGCTGGCTTAAGACTATAGTTCACAGGCTGGGAAGGTAGCTTAGTGGTAGAGCACTTGCCTTGCATGCATGAGGCCCTGGGTTCGATTCCTCAGCACTACATAAGCAAAAAGAAAAAAGCCAGAAGTGGCGCTGTGGCTCAAGTGGTAGAGCACTAGCCTTGAGCTGAAGAGCTGAGGGACAGTGCCCAGGCCCAGAGTTTAGGACCCACGACCAGACCCCCCCCCCAAAAAAAGACTATAGCTCACCAGTTACCCCAAACCTAAATTCCACAGTCCCATCTCTGTTACTGCCTTGCTCTGGGTGGCAGTGAGTTAAGACGCACCCAATGGATAGCAACAATAGTGGCTACAGACTACTTTATCTAAGGGCTGCCATTTGCATTGTGCTACATGATCATATCCACTGCAAATACTGAAAATAAGCTATGCTGTATTAAAGGTGGAAGTAAATACTGTTGCCAGTGCAGGGAAAGCTATATGAAGTCATGGGTGCTTATGTGGGGTGTCCTACTTTCTATTTGCTTCCATTTATGATTTGATGAATCTGATAGAGAAGAGCACATTTGCCACCTGCTAAAGATCAAATTTTAGCAAATAGTTAATACAGATTGTTATATATAATACTCTCTTCTAAGTGATTTTTTTTGGGGGGTCCGGTCGTGGGGGCTGAACTCTGGGCCTGGGCGCTGTCCCTCAACTCTTCAGCTCAAGGCTAGTGCTCTACCACTTGAGCCACAGCACCACTTCCTGCTTTTTTCTTTTTGCTTACGTAGTGCTGAGAAATCAAACCCAGGGCCTCAGGCATGCAAGGCAAGCGCTCTACCACTGAGCCACCTTCCCAGCCCCTTCTAAGTGCTTTTTGTCTCTTTCCTAATTTAAATCTTCCCTGTAATCTAGCAAGGTATGTACAACCATTAGCTCCATTTTATAAGTGAAGAAACCAAGTTACAAAGAGTTAAATTGTTCAGGATCACAAAGCTAGTCTCTGAAGGAAATTCAGATCAGACATTCTGGTGTCTTGGTAGACACCTGTCAAACTATTCCACAAAAGATCTAGATGCAACCTAATGCTGTTGGGGTGCTGATGGCTCATGCCTATAATTCTAGCTACTCAGGAGTCTGAGATCTGAGCATTGCGATTTGGATCCAGTTGTAGGGCCTGAACTCTGGGCCTGGGCACTGTCCCTCAGCTCTTCAGCTCAAGGCTAGCACTCTACCACTTGAGCCACAGTACCACTTCCACCTTTTTTTTCTGCTTATGTGGTGCTGAGGAATCGAACCCAGGGCCTCATGCATGCAAGGCATGCGCTCTACCACGAGCTACCTTCCCAGCCCTGAGCATTGTGATTTGAAGCCAACTTGGGCAGAAAAGTCTGTGAGACATATTTCCAGTTAGCAAGCAAAAAGTCAAAAGTAGAGGTATGGCTCAAGAAGCAGAGCACCAGCCTTGAGGGAGAAGCCAAGCAACAGCACAAAGCTCTTAGTTCAAGCCCTAGTATAATGCTAATTTTTATCTTCACTGGCAGAACTCCTGTCCTGTATATACCTGAATTTATCCAATCACAGTAGATGAAGTGGAGCTTGGAATACAAAAATATAAATGCTACCCTAAGGGAATTTTCCTCCATTCAATCAATTTTGTCTATAAGTATCTGATTGGACATAATTTAATATTTTTATGTGTTTTTTTTAACTTGTGCCAGTACTAAGCTTGAACTCATGGCTTTGAGATGTGAGCTTTTTTTTTTTTTTTTGCTCTACCTTGGCTCATATCACTTAAGCCACACCCCCATTTTCCAGTGAAGATAGAATATGTTTCCATCCTCAGCAGGGGGAGATGAACTTTCCCACAGTGGGACAGACAGGGGAAGAGGTGTGTGAAAATCTGTTGCAATTTGGCAACTTGTGAAGTTGGAAAGGTTGAAGGGGAGCATTGAGAACAGCTTTTTCGATTTTATGCCTTCTACCCAGAGTCAGTAAATCTTCCAAAGGACGGTAGGAACTCTAGTAAGGCAAGTTACTGTGGTTTTAGTGATTGGCGGTTGGCCAAGTAACGGTTTTACCTGTCGTCCTTCGGGCTCTGTCCACCTTCCAGAACCATTAGGTCCTTTCCCAGTCCTTGACCGTATAAGGTAAGGTCTCCTTCGCCTGGGCCAGGCATCCCAGCGCTCAGATCTGCACAGCTTGGTGGCTCCGCAAGGCCCAAGCTGCCATCAGATCCTGGTATGAACAGAGGCGAGGGTCTGGCGAGCGGAGGCAACTTTGTCCCTGATCCCAGCTGCCCTGCAGCCCTGTGCGGGAAAGCCAGGTTGGCCGACGGTCACGCTGGGCTTCACACCCCCATCAGGTCCCCAAATTTCCTTTTACTTTTTAATAATGGTAAAGACAGAGCCGGTCGCCAGTGACTCACTCCTGTAATCCTAGCTACTCAGGAGGCTGAGATCTGAGGATGGAGGTTCAAAGCCAGCCCGGGGCAAGGAAAGACCATGAGACTCTTATTTCCAATAAACCACCAGAAACCCTGAAGTGGTGCTGTGGCTCAAATGGTAGAGTGCCAGCCTTGGGCTGTAGAGCTGAGGGATAACGCCCAGGCCCAGAGTTCAAGACCCACGACCAACATGGGGTGGAAAGGGAGGGGGAAAATTGTGAAGACGAGAGCCACGGTGTTTTGGGCCCATGTGCCCTCCGTGAATGATTTCTGATGATGCGTTTGTTCGTTCTTTGAGTATATGCTTCCTTCCAGAGTTCCAACATTTCAAATTTCTAAAAGTCTATCTTTGTCATTTGTGAACAACACAATCAATTACCTCTTTTCTTTTTCTTTCTCAGAGCTGCGGGTGGAACCCAGGACTTAAATATGCTAGGCAAGTACTCT